CTGATTAACTTTAGAGTCTTAAATACGCTTTAAGCTAATTTAGCTTGCTAAAGTATTAATAATAGCTGAGGGCCACGTAATAGATTTGAACCGAAAAAAAAAAAAAAAAAAAAAAAAAAAAATAGCCCGGTTGTTTGAACCCGAGCAGAGATGCGAACCGGAGCGGTTCAGTGAGCCAGATCGCGCCACTGCCTCCAGCCTGGGGACAGAGGAACTGTCTAAAAAAAAAAAAAAAAAAAAAAAAAAAAAAAAAAAAAAAAAAAAAAAAAAAAAAACAGACAGTGAGACTCGCCTGCTCTGCCTGGTCGTGGCTCTGTCTCTGTCTTCTTCTCTCTCTCTTTATATATATATATATATATATATATATATATATAAATAGACTAGGTGTGGTGGCTCACACCTGTAATCTCAGCACTTTGGGAGGCCAAGGTGGGTGAATCACTTGAGGCCAGGAGTTCAAGACCAGCCTGGGCAACAAGGTGAGCCTCTGCCATCTCACAAAAATTTTAAAAATAGGCTGGGTATGATGGTGTGCACCTGCAGTTCTAGCTACTTGGGAGCCTGAGGCAGGAGAATCACTTGAGCCCAGGAGTTTGAGGCTGCAGTGAGCTATGATGGTGCCACTGCACTCCAGCCTGAGCATCAGAGCAAGACCTTGTCTCTTAAAATTAAGATATTAAAAATAACCATTACAAATAATAGAAATAGAATTATATGGTTTGGATTTGTGTCCCTGCCCAAATCTCATGTCAACTGTAATCCCCAGCATTGGAGGAGGGGCCAGTGGGAGGCGATTGGATCATGGGGGTGGAATTCCTCCTGCTGTTCTCATGATAGTGAGTGAGTTCTCACAAGATCTGGTTGTTTAAAAGTGTGTAGCACCTTCCCCTTCACTCTCTTCCTCCTGCTCTGGCCATGTAACACATGCCTCCTTCCTCTTCACCTTCCACCACAACACTAGAGCTCAATATCCCTGATGTATTCATTGATCAGGATTTATTGAGGAATTGATGCAAAATCCCCTTTAAAAAATACTAGCAAACTAAATTCAACAGCACAATAAAAAACTATAGTTCAACCATTGTGGAAAACAGTGTGGCGATTCCTCAAGGATCTAGAACTAGAAATACCATTTGACCCAGCCATCCCATTACTGGGTATATACCCAAAGGATTATAAATCATGCTGCTATAAAGACACATGCACACGTATGTTATTGCAGCACTATTCACAATAGCAAAGACTTGGAACAAACCCAAATGACCATCAGTGACAGACTGGATTAAGAAAATGTGGCACATATACACCATGGAATACTATGCAGCCATAAAAAAGGATGAGTTCATGTCCTTTGTAGGGACATGGCTGAAGCTGGAAACCATCATTCTGAGCAAACTATTGCAAGGACAGAAAACCAAATACCACATGTTCTCACTGATAGGTGGGAACTGAACAATGAGAACACCTGGACACAGGAAGGGGAACATCACACACCAGAGCCTGTCGTGGGGTGGGGGAAGGGGGGAGGGAAAGCATTAGGAGATATACCTAATGTAAATGACGAGTTAATGGGTGCAGCACACCAACATGGCACATGTATACATATGTAACAAACTTGCACGTTGTGCACATGTACCCTAGAACTTAAAGTATAATTTTAAAAAATGAAAGTTATATAAAAATAAATAAATAAATAAGAAATTATAGACCATGACCAAGTGGGATTTATCCATGAAATGCAAGGATGGTTTATATATGAAAATGAACCAATGCAATAAACCATATTAACAGAATGAAAAACAAAAAAACACACAATTATCTCAACTAATGCAGAAAAAGCATTTGACAATATTTAACATCCTTTCATGATTTTAAAAAACCACTCAACAAACTAAAAACAGAAGGAAATTACCTCAACATAACAAAGGCAATATATAAAAAGTCCATAGCTAATATCACGCTCAATGGTGAGAAACTGAAAGCTTTTCCTCCAAGATAGGAACAAGCTCACTCTCACATCTTCTATTCAACATAGTACTAGAGGTCTTAGTAAGAGTAATTAAGCAATAAATTGGAAAAGAAAAAATAAAATTATGTGCAGATGACCTGATCTTAAATGTAGCCCTAGATTTCAAAGGATGTCATGAACAGCCTGGGGCAGAGACTTGTTACAGGGGTGGAGCCACTGTAGAGAGACCCCACTAGGACAATGCCCAGTGGAACTGTGGGGTCAGAGCCACTGCATAGAGTCCCCCACTAGGCCTAGAGGAGCTGTGGAGGCAGGGCCATTCCCAAGACCCCAGAACTGTAGAGCTACCAGTGTGCAACACCAGTCTGGGAGAGCTGCAGGCACAAGATTTCAACCCACGAGAGCTTCTGTGTGGACTGAGCCCAGGAAAGCCACAGAGTGGACTTGCTTAGGATCTCCTCTCTTTGTCTCTCCTTTTTGGAATGCAAATGTCTATCCTATGACTGGCTCACCACTGTATTTCAGAAGCACATAACTTGTTTAATTTCACAGGCTCAGAGCTGGAAATTTGCCTTAGGATGAATAGTGATTTGAGTCTCACCCATATCTGATTTCAGATGAGACTCTTGGGCTTTGGAATTTGGAGTTGATTCTGAAATCAGTGAAGACTTTTGGGGATATTGGGATGGAATGAATGTATTTTGTATGTGAAAAGGACAAAAGTTTTGGGGAGCCAGGGGTGGAATGCTATGGTTTGAATGTTTACCCCCTCCAAAACTCATGTTGAAATTTAATTGCCGGTGTTAAGAGTTTAAAGAGGCAGGACCTTTTAAGAGGTGATTAAGCCATGAGGGCTTCACCCTTGTGGGTGCAATTGGTGCCATTACAAAAGCGTGAGTTCAATCTCCTCTTCCACATTCCTTCATGGGATGATGCTGCAAGGAGGGCCTCATCCGATGCTGGCCCCTTGATCTCGAGCTTCTCTGCCTCCAGAACTGTGAGGCAATAAATTTTCCACCCTTATAAATTACCATCTGTGGTATTCTGTTATGGCAGCACAAAACAAACTAAGACAATGGCTGAGAGGGTAAATTTTATGTGTTTTTTACCACAATAAAAAAGTACTATCACATTTGGGATTTTTTTTTTAAAAGGAAAGAATGTTTATAAAATAAATGAAGCACTAATATATTCCATAACATAAACCTTATGAAAACATTACGGTAAGTGAAAGAAGCCAATCACAAAGACCATGTCTTAGCCCCTTTTGTGCTGCTATGACAGAATGCTATACTGCGTAATTTATAATGAATAGAAATTTATTTCCTCATAGTTCTAGAGCTTGGGAAGTCCAAAATCAAGGAGCTGGTGTCTGTTGAGGGCCTTCTTGCTGTACCATTCCATAGCCAAAGGGCAAAGAGAGGGCAATAGAGGAGCAGGAGGGAGCCAAACTTGTTCTTTTGTAAGGAATCCACTCCTGTGACAACAGACCCACTCTCACAATAGCATTAATCCATTCGTGAGGGTGGTGCCCCCATAATCTACTGACCTCCCATTAGGCCCCATCTCCCAGAACTACCTCACTGGGGATCAAGTGGCCAACACATGAACTTTAGGGGACACATTCTGATATGGTTTGGGTCTGTGACCCTGCCCAAATCTCATGTCAAATTATAATCCTCAATGTTGGAGGCGGGACCTGACTGGAGGTGATTAGATCATGGGGGCAGATTTCCCCCTTTGGTGCTCTTCTTGTGATGAGTTCTCATGAGATCTGGTTGTTTAAAAGTGTGTGGCACCTTCCCCCGTCTCCTGCTCTGGCCATGTAAGATGAGCCTGTTTCCCCTTTGCCTTCCACCATGATTATAAGCTTCCTAAGGCCTCTCCAGCCATGCCTCCTGTACAGCCTGTGGAACTGTGAGCCAATTAAGCCTCTTTTCCTTATAACTTAGTTTCAGGTTATTGATAGCAGTGTGAAAACGGCCTAATTCACATTCAAACCACACCAGATCATATACCGTATAATGACTGTATGATTCCATTTATATGAAATGTCTAGAACAGGCAAATCTACACACATAGAAAGTGTATTCATGGTTGCCTAGTGCTGGGGAGAATAGAGGAGTTGGGAGTTATCTTAGTCTGTTCCAGCTGCCATAACAAATGTACCACACACTGAGTAGCTGATAAACAACAATAAATGATTTCTTACAGTTCTGGAGGCTGGGAAGTCCAAGATCAAGGCACCAGCATAATGAAATTTGAGTGAGAACCCACTTTCTAGCTCACAGATGACTGTCTTTTCATTGTGTCCTCACAAGGGAGAAGGGGTGAGCGACCTGTTTGTGGCCACTTTCATAAGAGCACTGAGCTCATTTATCAGGGCTACGCCCTCTTGACCTACTCACTTCCCAAAGGCCCCATCTCCTAATACCATCAGCTTAGGGGTTAGGATTGCAACTTACGAATTTTGAGGGTACACAAACATACAGACCATAGCAGAGGTTATAGCTAAAAGTTTTATTCTAGAGGTGATAATGTTCTAAAATTTATTGTGGTGATGGTTGTACAACTCTGTGAATACACAAACACTGAACTGTACATTTTAAATGGGTGAATTTTATGGAATGTAAATTATATCTCAATAAATCTGTGGTGGGGCAGAGTGGTTCATGCTTGTATTTCCAGCACTTTGGGAGGCCAAGGTGGGCAGATTGCTTGAACTCATGAGTTCAAGGCCAGCCTGGCCAACATGGTGAAACCCCATTTCTACAAAAGATGCAAAATAATTTAGCTGGGTGTGGTGGTGCATGCCTGTAATCCAGCTACTCGAGAGGCTGAGGTGGAAGGATTGCTTGAGTCCAGGAGGTTGAGGCTGCAACGAGCCAAAATCACACCACCACTGTACTCTAGCCTGGGTGAGAGTGAAACCTCGTTTCAAACCTCCTCCCCCCAATATTATCTGTTATAAAGTATTCTTATGTTTAAAGAAAGTTGCTACATAATGAGAAAACATTCAAATCACCACAGATTTGACAATTCTTAACTTGTATTCAGATAACCACCGAGTGTCAAAATACATAAAGTAAAACTTGACATAACATATAGACAAATATATGACAGTGGAAGCATATAAATTAGAAAAAGAATAAATTTGAAGGGCTTACATTACCTGATTTTGAGATTTACTACAAAGCTATAGTAATCAAGATAACGTGTGGTTTTGGCAAAGGGACGGACACATAGATCAATGGAATAGAATAGAAAACTGAGAAACAGAGCCACTTAAACAGGAGCAATCAATTGTTGACAAAAGGGCAAAGGCAATTCAATGGAGAAACAATGTTTTCCACAAATGATGCTGAAACAATTGGATAACCACATGTAAAAACAATGAGCCTAGGCCTTTATTTAACACATTATATAAAAATATGAAAATTGTCACAATATGAAAAACATTACCAATAAGCTAGTAGAAGAAAAATTTCCTAAATATTAGTTCCGGATGGGTTCTTAAATATGACACCAAAGTATGGTCCATAAAAGGAAAAACTGGACTTCATTAAAATTTAAAACCTTTGCTTTATAAAAGACACTGAAATAAAAATTGAATAAAGGAGAATAAAAAGACAAGCCACAAACTACAAAAATAAACTAGGAAAACAAACAATAGAATTATTTTAAAATGGCAAAAGATTTGAAAACTTCATCAAAGGTACACAGATGGACAAAAGCACATGAAAAGATGCTCAACATCATTAGTCATTAAGGAAATGCAAACTGAAGCCACAATGAGATACCACTACACATCTACTAGAATGGATAAAATAAAAACAATGAGAATACCAGGTGTTGGCAAATTATGGAGCAACCACATCTTCATACATTGCTGGTGGGAAAACAAATTCAACCAATCATTCTGGAAAAGGTTGGCCCTGTGTTACAAAGGTAAATATATACTCACCATATGATCTAACCATTTCACTCCAATATTTACCCTACAGATATGAAAATTTATGTTCATACAAAAACCTAATGTTTGTAATAGTTTTATTCATAATTACCAAAAATTATAAACAACCTAAATGTGCTTCAGTGGGTTAATGGCTAAGAATACTGTGGTACCTAACGTGGAAAACTACTCAGCAATAAAAATTAGTAAATGACACAACACTGATGCAAATCAAAGCCTTTATACTCAATGCAGGGTGGGGAGCCACTCTTTAAAAAAAGCAGCACAAGGGGAATTTGTTGGTGCAGTGGAATTGTTCTGTACCCTTTGTGGTGATGGTTACACAAGTCTACATAGGGCGTTTTAAGACAGAACTGTGGAAGGAAGAAAGGAAGAAAGGAGAAAGAGAAAGGGGTGAAAGGAGGAGGAAGATGGGGAGGAGGAGGAGGAGAGAGGGAGGGAGAAGAAGGAGGAACTATTAAAACCACACACACAATTACGGTGGTAGTTACAAGGGTAATATCTTCGTCAAACATGGCAAACACCTTTAAGTGGGTGAATTTTATTGTGTACTTTGATAAAAGTTGATTTTTGCAAAAGTTCAAAAAGTCAGTTATTTTAAAAGACTAGTAAAGTTGACACATCTCTAGAAACATTACCAATAGAGGATACAAATAAGCGATATCAGGAAAGAAAAAAGGGACATAAGTTCAGATAGAACAAGCACTTGAAAATAAAACCATTTTAAACAACTCAATGACCAAAAAGGATACATTTTTAGAAAAACCTACAACTTTCTAGAAGAAATAGTAAATCTAAATAGCCCCTAAAACCAACCAAACCACACACTACAAACACAATAACCCCAGTTTAACAGATGAATGCAACTAAAATTCAAGGGACACAAACTCCCCCAGAGAGAGAGAAAAAAAATCATGAACTTGCATCCCAGGAATGCAAGGATTCTTTCACATCAGAAAATCAATGTACTTTACCACATTAATAGATGAAAAGGAACCACATGGTTATCTCAAAAGATGCATATTTTAACAGGATCCCAGAAAACTTATTTAAAAAGATAAAAAGTCTCATTCCATTATATTCACAGTTGTTTTTATTGGGCCACCACTGTGAAGCATACATGATGGATATGTCTTCTAAATGACTGTATCATTAATACCTAATAGTTATGTAGCACCTGATCGCTTACAAACCACATTTGCATCCCTTTTCTACCTAACTCTAATCATTCTCAAGTAGGCATTAAATTTTAAAACATTTATCTATGAGGAGATAGATATCAAAGGATGAAGGTGACTTGTCCCAAATCTCAGTTATTTTCGTTCTTTATTTTGTTGATTCTCTATGATCTCATATGTCACATGGCAAATTAAAGTGAACAGATAGCCACATGTAGATAATATACAACTGGAAAAAAATCTGAAATTCTGAGTCCAGTTCTCCAGTGCTTCTCATATGCTTTTCAAACAAAAATACAAATACAAAAAATTTAACCCTACAGTTTATATTCTTAGTCATATCTATCCTTCTCAAGTTTATAACCTACAATTAAATACTAGTGTTTCCTCAATTTATAAACTATTGTTCCTTCAAAGCTAGATGAAGCAGGCTGATAGTTTCTACCTATCAAATTGGCAGCTTATCTTCAGGAATCCAGTGAGCATTTCTTTTAGTACCTATTCCTAACTGGTTACAAATGACCTGTATACACCACAAACCCTATATATACCACAACTTGATGTGTGATTTCAGTGTCAAGCACAAAGATGTCATGGGAAAGGTGGAGCACTACTTTCTCCTACTGCTCTCACTAAGTACGACTAAAAATCTGGGATATTATATACAAAGCAAACATAAGAAAGTTCTAGAAGGTGGAGAGAGAATGGACTGGCTAGGGACCTCAGAACCTGAGGAAGAACACAGCAGTGACGTTCTTGGGTTTTCTCGTTGCCTCATCTATCCCAGATTGGGTTCTAGAGAAGCTGACAACCCAGAAATGCCAACAGGCACAGGCACAGACCAAAAAAAAAAAAAAAAAAAAGGCCCAAGAAAAATCTGCTTTTTCTAGCCAAAGGACTGGAAAGGCAGTAGCCTAGCAAGACAGAAAATGTTTAGGAAACCACAATCCTACTTAAAAGACCACAGAAGCAAGCTATGGTCCTATCCCCACCAACAAAGGCCTATACTTCCGCCCTCACCAGGCTGTAACAAGGCTCTCAGTCCTCCACCTTTAGCCTGGGGTGGTATCAGAGAAGACCAAGTGGGCAGATAGATTTCTAAAACCCACCCCTCCCCACACATCACCCTGGCAGTGTCCCCCCTACTCAGAGCCATCTCTCTTCTTTCTTACTGGTGTGGTCTCAGTGGAAGCCAAGTGGGGGGTCAAGACTTACACCAATTCCCAACAGTAATGATGTCACCCTCAACCCCACACCATGCTGTCAATCGAGGCCATGTAAATAGCAGTAACAAAGCATTCCTGATCTTCCCTGGCCAGTGTGGTGTCAGCGGAGGCCTAGTGGGGAGCTGTAAATCCCACCCTTGCCCAGCAGTAGTGAGGACCCCTGCCCAGGAGTCATTAGAGGCCAATGGTGAACCTGGACTTCCAACACCAACTTAAAGTAATGAGGCAGCACCTCCGCAACACTTTCTCCACCACAGTGGTATCTGAGGAGGCCTGTCAATACAGAAGACTTCAACAGGATACCAAGTCTCATACCAAAAGACTCCAGATGTCCAGACTTCAACTGAAAATCACTCCTCACGCCAAGAACCAAGAAAATCTCAACTTAAATGAGAAGATAACCCAAAGATGTCAATACTGAGATGACACAGATGTTAGGATAGCCTGCAAGGATTTGAGAGCAGCCATCACAAAAATGCCTCAATGAGTAATTACAAACATGCTTAATGCAAACAAAATAAGCAAAGAAAGGCTCTCAGCAAGGAAACAAAGAATCATGTGCAACTAAAAAATACAATAACTGAAATAAAATTCAAGGATGGTCTCAACAGCAGAACCAAAAGGACAGAGGGAAGATCTAGTGAACTGGAAGACAGAACAGAAAATACTCAATCTGAAGAGAGAAAACTGTGATGAACTATGTCCCCCCACCCCAATTCATTATGTGGACACCCTAACCCTCAATGTGACTATATTTGGAGATAGGTTCTGAGGAAGTAATTAAGGTTAAAAGAGACCTTAAAGGTGGGGTCCCAATCCAACTTCTCTCCACACCTATGCACTGAGAACAGGTCATGTGAGAACACAGTGAGAGTACAACCATCTACAAGCCAGGAACTGAACGCGGTTGGACCCTGATTTTAGACTTACAGCCTCCAGAACTTTGAGAAATAAATTTCTGTGCTTTGAGCCGCCCAGTCTATGGATGTTTGTTATGGCCGACCAAGCAGATTGAGATTCTGGTACCCAGAGGCGGATGCTGCTGTAACATATGCCTCAAAATGTGGAGGCAGCTTTGGACAGGGTGATGGGTAGAGACCAAGAGTTTTGAGGTACATGCTAGAGATGCGGATATTAAAGGCCACTCTGGCAAGGCCTCCGATGGCAATGAGGCACATATTATTAGAACTGGAAAAAAAAAAAAAAGGTGGCTCTTGTTATAAAGTGGCAAAGAACTTCTCTGAACTGTTCTAGTGTTTTCTGAAAGGCAGAACTTGAGAGTGATGAAACTGTTTATTTAGCAGATTTCTAAGCAAAGTACTGAAGGTGCAGCTTGGGTCCCCTTAGTGCTTGTAGTAAAATGTGAGAGGAGAGAGATTAAGTGAAGAAGGAACTGTTAAGAAACAAGGAAGCACAATTAAAGAAATATGAAAATTCCATTCGTATCACAAAAATATGAGAAAATGTGCTATGAAGAAAACACTAAGCGTGTGGCTTAAAAACTATTTCAACCATTTGATAAATAGATCAAATGGGTTTAGCAGCCCCAGGAGAAGCCAGGAATATAAATGGGATTATAACAGCAGAAACACAGCCACCTGGCACTAAAGGGGACAGAAATACAACAAAATAAAATGAAGGCAGGCTTTAGGACTTCTTAGATCCTACAGAACCAGAGAGCGATTTGTCTATGAGTATGTGTTATCCTTCAAGAAAAGAGAATGACCCTGAAAACAATTCAGAGACCATTGGGGATGCCTCCTGTTTCAAAGGGTGGAACCATCACCCTGGTTTCAACAGAACAGAAAGCCTCCAACTGAAGCCTTAGGGGCAGAATTGCCCTACAGAGGCTTAGGCGAGGGGCTACCTGGCAGTACCAGAGACAGGACCTCTACCCCAGTGGGTCCGGGAGGCACTGAGCAAAAGAGGATTATTCTCACAAGATCCGACGAAACACAAGACCTAATGGAATTTGCCTTGCTAAGTTTTGGACTTGCTCAGGACACATCCCTCCTCCTACTTTCCTATTTCTCCCTCTGTGGAATGGGAATGCCTACATTATGTCCAGATCACAAATGTATTTTGGAAGCACATAACTTGTTTGGTTTCACAGGTTCACAGCTGGGGAGTCACTGTGCCTCAGGATGAATTGTACCTTGAGTCTTACCCGTATCTGATTTAGGTGATATTTACTTGAAGGTCTGGACTTTAGAGCTAATGCTAGAATGAGTTAGGGCTTTTGGGGCTGTTGGAGTGGAATAAATGTATTCTGCACGCAAGGACATAAATTCGGTGGGGGCCTGGGGTGGAACGTTATGGACTAAACGTATCCCCTCTTCCCCAAAATTATGTTGAAGTCCTAATCCCCAATGTGAATTTATTTGGAGACAGCGTTTTCAGGGGGGTAATTAGGGTTAAATGAGGTAAGAAGGGCAGAGTCCTAATCTGCTAGAACTGGTGGACTGATAAGAAGAGGGAGCTATTTCTCTCTCCCTCTCCCAACTGGCCCATCTGCATGCACTACGGGTATGAGAAGACACAGCGAGAAGGCAGCCATCTGTAAGCCAGGAAGAAAGTCCTCATTAGAGGCAGAGTCAGCAGGCACCTTGATCTTGGACTTCCCAGCCTTCAGAACTGTTAGAATTATGTATTTTTTTGAGTCACCCGGTCAGTCTATGCTGTCTTGTTATGGCAGATTGAGCAGATTCAGACAAAAATCGTCAAGAAAAAATGAACAGAGCCTCAGGAACTTGTGAGATGACAACCAAAGAGCTCCTATTTCTTTCATTAGAGTCCCAGGAGAAAAGGAGTAGAAGGTGGGGGCTAAAATGTATTTAAAGAGATGAGGGCTGAAAATCTACCAAATTTGGCAAAAGACATAAACCTACACATTGAAGAAGCTAAGCAAACCCAATAGGGTAAACTAAAAGAAATTCACACCAAGATACATCATAGTACAGCTTCCTAAAATTAAAAACTCTGCACTCAAAATAATGTGTCCAATAATCTTCAAAGTTTCAATGAAAAAAAAATATAAAAAGACGCCACCTGCCTCTACCCAAGAGTAAAATGGTAAAAGGTATTTCAAAGTCTTTTCAAGCTTTTCATAATCTAATATGCAGTGTCAGTGCAAATCTACAACTAAACTTTACTATAAGCTATAAAAAATCTAAGGTACAAACTAGATACAACTGAGGTAAATCTTTATAAATAAGCACATTCTCAGGTAACTCAGATACCTTAAAACAGTTTGAACACATCAAAGGTCTCTTCTGTACTCAATTTTCTAAGCTGTGGCTCCTGACCCTTGGAAATTAACATGATTTAGTAGGCGAGGTCTCAGTAAGCAAGGTCTAAAAGACAAAAAGTGCAGAAGCAAACACCCTGCATTACCCGGCAGCCAACAGTCCTTAGCTGCAGGGTAAAGCTACCCTCACAGAAACAGTCAGCCAACAGTCCTTAGCTGCAGCCTAAAGCTACCCTCACAGAAACAGTCAGCCAACAGTCCTTAGCTGCAGGGTAAAGCTACCCTCACAGAAACAGTCAGCCAACAGTCCTTAGCTGCAGCCTAAAGCTACCCTCACAGAAACAGTCAGCCAACAGTCCTTAGCTGCAGCCTAAAGCTACCCTCACAGAAACAGTCAGCCAACAGTCCTTAGCTGCAGCCTAAAGCTACCCTCACAGAAACAGTCAGCCAACAGTCCTTAGCTGCAGCCTAAAGCTACCCTCACAGAAACAGTCAGCCAACAGTCCTTAGCTGCAGGGTAAAGCTACCCTCACAGAAACAGTCAGCCAACAGTCCTTAGCTGCAGCCTAAAGCTACCCTCACAGAAACAGTCAGCCAACAGTCCTTAGCTGCAGGGTAAAGCTACCCTCACAGAAACTTTTCAACTGGACAACTATTAAGTCTAATATTTTTCACAGTTGTGAATATTCAGTTGAGTAGTTAACATAATGAACATTTTTTGGGTTCATTCCCCGAGCTTTTTTTTTCTATCCTTTCCCTCTACTTCCTTTGGCTCTTTAAACTTAAGAATGAAGGACAACTCCCCTTCCACCACCACTCCTGACTCTGGACAAACTCATTGTGAATTCTCAATCTTTTATTTCTACCCACGCAACTTCCCTAAAAGTGTAACTTATCTCTTTAAAACTTATATTCTTAGTATTATGAAAATATCTAGCACAGTCAAGATGTCCCCTTTCCACCACAGCATACCCCATTTCTCTCCCAGGGATATGGGAATTTACATACACGTTAGGGTGTTACAAATAATTTCCCTCTTTCCTGAGGAAAATTCAGCGTCCTCTGCCAGAACACTTTTAAAAATGTAAAACGATACTTTCAGTCTAATCATGCTACAACCCATATCAGCAGTGACTTCTCAATAACTTTTTTGCAACACCATCTTAAATCTCTCTGTAGACCCCCATGGCAAGCACGGTAAATGCTCAGTAAGTATGCTCTGAATGTACCACATGTACATGGTCTTTATCCAGTATGAATTCTCTTGTGTTGGCCAAAGGTTAAACGCTCACTAAAAGCTTGGACATATTTCTTGGTTTTCACTCCAGCATGAGTCTTCTGATGTTGAGAGACGGATGAGCTCTGGCTGAAGGCTTTTCCACATTCCTTACACTTGTAGGGCTTTTCTCCAGTGTGAGTTTTCTGATGCTTTGTAAGAGACGAGCTCTGGCTGAATGCTTTTCCACAATCTTTACATTTGTAAGGTTTCTCTCCAGTGTGTGTTCTCTGATGACGAATAAGGGCTGAGCGGTCACTGAAGGCTTTGGCACAATCGTTGCATTTATAGGGTTTCTCCCCAGTGTGAGTTCTCTGGTGCTGAGTCAGGGCTGAGCAGTAGCCAAAGGCTTTCCCACATTCGTTACACTCGTAAGGCCGCTCCCCAGTATGAGTCCTCTGGTGCTGAATAAGACCTGACCGATCACTAAAGGCTTTGCCACATTCGTTACACTTATAGGGTTTCTCTCCAGTGTGAATGACCTGATGCTGGGTAAGGAATGTGCTTTGGCTGAAGGCCTTCCCACATTCGTTACACTCATAAGGTTTCTCTCCAGTATGAATTCGCTGATGTTGAGTGAGGTATGAACTCTGGTTAAAGGCCTTCCCGCATTCGTTGCATTCATAGGGTTTTTCTCCAGTATGAATGATGTGATGCCGAATAAGGGCTGAGCGGTGACTGAAGGCTTTCCCACACTCATGGCATTCGTAGGGCTTCTCTCCAGTATGAATTCTCTGGTGCAGAGTAAGGTGTATGCTCTGGCTAAAGGCTTTCCCACACTCCTTACATTCATAGGGTTTTTCTCCGGTGTGAATTCTCTGATGTAAGACAAAAGCTGAGTAGTAACTGAAGGCTTTCTCACACTCACTGCATTTCCAAGGTTTCTTTCCTGCACAAATTCTCTCATGCCTAATTATTTCTGAATTTTGTTTTAAGTTATTTTTAAATGACTCACAATGATGTAGTCTCTCTCCCTGCTGCTGAACGAGTAAGGACCTCCGAGTGCAACTTCTTCTAAATTCATCAAATTGGTAACTTCTCTCCCTAGAAGATTTCTGAGTGACAGTGTCTTGTATTAAATGTTTCTCATGGTTTTCCTGCTGACTCTCTAAAGAATCCTCAGGTTCACTAGAACCTTCCTTTGAAAATCTTACAATTAACACCCCAGGGGCCGATTCTTCTTCAGAAATACCCTTTTCTGGAGTGAGCTCCTTGCTTTCTGGTATTGTTTCCCAGTCTGAAATAAGCAAAAATACACACGTGTATCATTTCCTACCCTGGGAGAAAAATAACTGCTGGGGTAGGAAATTAATGAGACATGTTTGTTAAGAATATTTACAGTGAACACATGAACTTCAAAGCTCTCAAAAATAGTCTTGCAATCTTGGGAGAACACAAGAAAAAAAAGATGACTGGACAAAGAAGTACAGCTGCGTAAAACGAGAGTGTGTACAGGTACTCAACGTTCCCCTACGCAGCAGGATAGGAAATAACGAAAAATAACAGAACGAGACTAACAAGAGGTGATGTGGAGAAATAGCAGATTTTTTAAAAAGGATTTAGAGGAGACAGGGCTAGGATCAGAGAAAGATGGTCTTCCAAAGACTCACTGTACCCATCTGACCAGAGCCTTATCATTTCATGCCTCGAGAATGACCATCTTTACCTAATCTCCTTGCCACCAATCCTTTCCTACTCCAATATGTCCCAACCACTGCTAAAAGACTAATTGCTGAAAACCATCTCCCTTTCACAAAAATCTGTTGCTTCTACTGTCTCAAGATGAGACACAAATTCTAGAAGCTAGCATTCAACATGGTCCAGGTCTACAAACTCAAATGAGCACAAAGCTTATTAACTGGAAAGCAATTAATCACCTCTGATTGCTTACCATCACCCTAGACCCAGCAAACTGGAAAGAGTAAAACAGAACCAAGAAGAAAGAAAAAAGAGAGAAAGGAACGAAAGAGAAAAACAGCAGTGTGTTGGGAGAGGAAGGTTGAAACTCCATGTGTTCAGATTAGTCCCCAACCTCTCAAGATACCTGCCCCAAGTTCCTGGGCTTCCTAGTAAGAATTTGAGGGGGAAAAGCTTCATTGCTAAAAATGTTTAAATCCTTGCAAGCTTAAACGATCTTTAATATCCATTCCAATCATGTCTCTACATGAAATAAATTAATACAATACAGTGTTCTCAACTAGATATACTCAGGGAAGTGCCTGGGATTTTAAAGGACAAATAGGTAGAAGAGGTAAGGCAAACGGACTTCCAGCTAAGGGGAGTGTAAAAATTAAAGCCCCAAATGTTCACGAAGAACACATGGTTAGTGGAGGACACTGAGGGATTTGCCTATCTGATGTTAAGAGTTCAAGCTGAAGAACAGAGAAGGCAAAAAAGTTAGGCAGGTAGACTAACAACGGCTTTGAAAGCAGGTAGAGGAATACAGAACTGGCAGAGGAAGCAACTCATTGGGGCATCTAGCAGTATTATGCTGCCTCAATTTTACAAGGAGAAGAGTAAAGAAAGTATAATTAACCAATAGTCTATTGCAGTAATCCAGTTTGACAGAAGTAACAGGGTCAAATCCATAACATCTTTCAAAACAGTTACGAGGACTTACTAGCTATCATTTGCTTAGCATATAGCCAGGTACTGTTTAAAACATTTCTCTTGGATTATTTCCTTTGATCGTCACCACAACAGTATAAGCTCTGTGATGTCACTATCCCCATTTCACCACTGAGGAAATTTAAGTCACGGAGAACACAAGTCACCTGTTAAAGGTCGCAAAGCTAATGAGTAGCTAAGATCGGGTTTAAACCAAGGGAGCTTAGTTCCAAAGTCTGCAGTCTTAACCATCATGCCATGCCGCCTCTGCTTAGACAGAGAAGGTGGCAAGGGAAAACCCAGAGATGAATTTACAGTCATTGATCTGAGACTCAAAAACATGGCGTTCGGCAAAGATAAAATGACGCGTGGAAAATTCTGGTTTAGAGCCTTGAACCCAAGCAAGTGTTTAACAAACATTAAAATGTTGGTTTCATTGCACCTTATTTGGGAAAAAGAATTGGTTTGAAAGAGTAGAAAGTATTTACTTTCTAAAAAATCAAATTGTAACTTTATAAACAGATCACCATCCACGGAGCTAGGATGTGGCACGGGGGAGAGACAGGGACTTCAACTTTTCCATGGGTCTGGCAATATCTGGACGGGCTCCTCCTCCATAAGCATTTCCACTGACAATCTGGGTTTTACTCGCACCGTTTTCAACACTCACGCACCTGGAGCGGCTGCTTTTGAAACTTCTCTCTTCAGTTCCTCCTCATGCTCCAACTGAGAGATTACATCAGGTGTGGAAATTGGAAGCCCTATTCATAGCGAAAGAAAAAGGAGTCTGGTAAAGACCTCAGTGTCTGTTCCTTGGTCTTCAGGAACATGGTAAGAGAGGGAGAGAGTGAGGTCAGTTCTCCATTTCTTCCTCGACAGTGCTCACGAGGTAGGAAGATTGATAGGGGGTTGAGTCCCTTACCAATTTTACCTCCCCCTATTTAAAGAATAAGCAACCATTCTCTTAAGAGTTGTTTTCATTAGCACTTTGTCTCCACATCCTTGGTCAAGGAGTAGAGAAGAAGGATGCTACAGGTCTATAAAATATAGGTGTTTATGTCTAATTCCAGGAGGGTTAAAACTATATCCAGAAACAAAAGGCAGAAATTGCCTGTCTCAGGCCCTACTAGAATTAAGAATCATTGAATATAAGGACCCTGGAGCTCCTAGGAACTGAGGAGACCAAGGTACCACACTGGGTAAAATCACGGGCACTGGGGGAGCCATCCTTACCCAGCAAGACCAGATTCCTGGGCTTCTCAGGCACATCTCCCTGGGGAGAGTTCAGCTGCCTCCACTGGGTGAGAGCCTCGGCCATATCCCTGATCATCAGTTCCTGAAAAACCAAACAGATTGGTGCTCACCAACAAGCCTCCTTATAGAGGCCTCTGAAGAGGGCTAAAGCTGACAGCACAGGGGGAGGAAGACAGGAAGGATAAAAAGAGGACAGACAACAGGGCCTCGGCCACCCTTTCCAGTACTAACATTCTCTGGTGAATTTGTAGTCCACTGACTCACTCTTTGCCTCCAGGCAACAGAAATGCGTATTACCTGCAAGTAGGAAGGAAAGCACCTTCAATGTAAAACTTGAAGGTATGAGCTTCTTAGTTTATTTATTAATAAATTGCAGAACTACAGAATTTGCTACTACTTATATAGGAAAAGGGGGAGAAAAATGTAATGATGAATTAAATATTTTCCTTATGGTATAGTTTTTAAAATATACGGGGTTCAAGAAATTGAAGTATTGTTTTCTCTAGTTTTCCTAAGAATGAAATCAGTTCCATACATACTAAAAATTAAGACGTTTCCTACACATCACAGAATATAGACTTATTTGTAAAACAGTATCTGAAGCCCAAAATATTACGAAAGTTCCCAGAGCGTTCTTGTCATTTTTCACAACGACCCTGATCAGTCTGCCCCTGCCCCCCAGCTGGTGGCGTTCTTTCATTTGCTTGAAGTGTGTGTCCTATTCCCTTTGGCCCCTTTACACACCCTGCTTCCTATTCCTGAATATTCCGCCCCCTGCCCCATCCTTTCAGCAATGTGAATCCTTCTCTCCCTTCAGATCTCAGCTCAGGTGTTACTCAGGGGAAGCCTTCCCTGACCCTCCTGTGAGAACACATGTTCCTTCCCTTCCCTTGGGTTGTACACATAGAGGAGACCTTGTGACTAACATCAGCTCCACAGGAGCAGAGGCCAGGTCTATTTTTGTTCACTGAAGCAGCCCTAGTACTTGGCACAGAGTAGAAACTCTGTAAATATTCGTTGAATATTTGAATGAAGAAAGGAAGGAAGGAACAAGAATTAATAGAAACAAGATTAAATGGGGTGTTCTATAAAAGTGTGCAGGGGCACAGAAGTGGGGAGGAGAACAGAAGCATATTAAACATAGAAAACAGTGCAGGAGTATTTAGCCTAACCTTCTTCTAGATGACAGGCACAAAGTTTAGTTTGTTTACTAAAATATTGAAATAAGGGAGTAGAGCAGGTAATGCTCTTTTGAATCTGTTACTGCTGCTAAGATAAATGTCTAATAATTTTTCAATTCTATTTTTTAGATTTCTGTGCAACTACAGTTTAACTTAGAGTAAAATAAACCAGTCCTTGGGTTAGCAAATGAATCAGTTTTACAGCTCTTTAAATTACCACTTGGGCCACAGCCCCTTGAATGAATATATATATATATATATCAAATGGTAAATTTTGTTTGTATTCAGCTTTCTAATGTATATTTCATAGTCTTTCAAAAATTATTAGTAAAACAATGCACCTAATGACATAAAGTTAAAAGAACCACCTACTCTGAAAATCCTCTGCCCAAAATACACTCTTTAACACTTTAAGTAAGAAATCCCACACATAAGGTCATATGCCTCAGGAGTAATCAGCACAAGTAATATAACGTGCACCATCTTCGTTCTGTACAAACAATGCTAACACCAACAGACTAACAGGCAGTTGCCCTCAGACTTCAGTTCCCTAAGAAAACCTCAGCAATCTACTCACTTAAGTGCCTGTGCCGGGGTCGGAAGGCACAGGCAGGCCAATCAGACACTGTCAGCAGGCGCTACTGACTTTCTCTCCCCTCATCTCTCTGAACGCCATCTACAAATTCACAGATCAAAATCAATACTGGCATTTTCTCCTACGGTTTTATAAGGATCATCAGTACCTGTATGCTTAGGCCTGGTGTGATGGAAACAAAGAGTCCCAGCACCTGAACCAAAGGGTCTGCCATCTCCCACTGTCTTGGCCAGATCTTACAGAAGCATCTTTACGAATCTTCTCTCTCCAATCAGCTACGGCATGTTTCGTCCTGCTGGGCCTCTAAAAACCTTCATGGGGCTGTCATTTACCTCTGGAATAAGACTGAGTGTAGATTGTCCTGGGGTCTGGGTACAACACAGCCAAGCTTCCCTCACCACAGTTTAGGTCACCCCACAGCGACCCACACATCCACACATCCTTGAAAGACCTCCAACTCCCTCATCATTTGAAGACTTTTTTTTTCTTTTTTTGGCCAAAGCTGTTCTCTCTTGGAATATTCCCTTATTCTGCCCTCCGACTACCCAATCACTCTTGTTTTTCAAAGTACAGTTTTTATCCCACACTTCTCCCAAACAGATGATTTTTAAAAAATCTCTTTCAGAGACTTTTACGACTTGTCTGGACCAATCATTTCTATGTTTAAAAAATATCTATTTCCTCATGTTTATTTTATCTATATATCTCTCACTGCCTTAGTAAACTCCACGATGCAGGAGCAAGTGGCTTTTACTTCTTTGCACCTCACCAAGGCCAATTACAGTACTGAGTGTGTGTGCAGCAAACATTCAGTGGGTAGACAGAAAGCAACGCTGGGAAGAGAGTCCTGCACAACCGAAGACCACTTCCTGTGGGGTTCCTCAGTCATCAGTTTATCAGGATGAACCCAGTGGTCTAGGAATCAGGGCTGAGCAATTCCGTAACAATGGAAGGAAACATATCCTTGCTCTGAGAACAGAAGGAAAAAAAAAAGAAGAAATCTAAACTTACTTGGGACCCAGGGGTCAGCAGCACAGCAGTTACGTCATTTTCTTTTGGGTTTCCAGCATGGAGAAGGTCTGAGTCCTCAAAAAGTGATCCTAAAAGAGGAGACAGGAGCCATGACGATTACTCTTTCCTTGCAATAAACTAGGAGGAAGTGCCACACACCAGCTAGTTGTCATCTAAGAAGAGTCAACACTGGGAACCAAAGGACAATCGCATAATATCCTTTAATCAAGACAGTCTTGACCATTGCTGCCTCAGGCTCCTCCTGTTCTCCTCTGCCCTTAAACTCCAGCAGACTGAGCATCTAGACATATAAATTAAACATATTTTTATCTTGCATGTGCTAAGTAGTCAAAATAATACTCCAAGTCTTTGTATGTCCATGCCTCAGTGATTCACCTCTGTTGTATTTCAGGCTCCCAGGATGAACGAAGACGAGTTAAATTCTTTTTGAACATTGGCTTTTCAGATATTGATACAATACCGACTGACTCAGAAAAGCGATGGGTCTTACGGAAGAACCACCACCACCAGCAAAAACAAACCAAGATTGTAAACAAACTCCGTGACTTCTCAAATCCCCGCCTTCCCTTCCTTCCAAAAGGGTCAGATAGTCCCTTCCTACTGCCTTATGGGGCTCCTCTAACATCAAAAGACAAGTCATTATCAAAAGCCAAACTTCAGATGCGTTGATATCTTCCCTTGGGCAACGGAGGCGTCCAGCGCCTACAGACCAGGAGGGCAATGGAAGTGGCGGGTTGTCCCTCAAAACCCCACGTGAGACCGGCCAGCGGGAAGGGGCTCGTGACGCTACTCCTTCCTGAGCCTGCCCCACACTTTCTCCCTTTCTCCCTCTCCAGCGGGCACCAAGGCCGCCTCACTCCCAAATCCTCACCTCTGCCCCCAGGTTCCATGGAGACTCCTTCCTCCAGCCCGCGCTGGAGGCAACCGCCGCGGGGGAAGGGGCCGGGGGTCCGCCGCTCGCGTTCCCCAAGAGGCCCGGAACGCAGCACGCGCTGGCGGCCCGGCGCCCCCACCCGGTGGTCCTCCCGCCACCCTCCTCCCGGGCACTCAGACTGAAAGGGGATGCGCTCAGCCCTCCTCCCCCCTGGGTTCGACCTCCAGCCACACACCGGCAAGCGGAGCCCGACTACAAAGGCATCTAACCGCCGGCTGCGACGCCTAGCGCCGGCCAACTGTGAGGCCGGACTACCACTCCCAGAATCCTCCGCGGGGCGCGGCTGGCGGCCGTCACGCCCAACGCCGCTTCCCAGAGGACCGCGCGGCCTCCTGCGCCGGGGGCTGCGTTTCTTGGCGCCGCGCGCGCCTGACCGGCCTGGAGGAGCGTTCGGCAGCTGGCGAATCCCTGCCCGTGGCTGTCGAAGGGCCGCTCGTCCCTCAGTGCGGACTGTGGGCGGCGGACGCGCCAAACCCCGCCTGGCGTGGGACTTTCGTGTCCCCGCTACGGTGACGGCGGAGGGCGCGCCCCTGACCCACGTGGGATGCTTCCCGGGCTGCGGTGCTCCCTCGGAGGGGAGGCGCCCGGCGGCGTCCCTGCTGCTGCGCCTCCATGCATCGGCCCTTCGCGGCGGGCACAGAGGGGATCTCAGTTTAAAGTAAGCAGGGATGTTTGTTCCATATTGCACCTCGGAATAAAGAAAAATGGAATTTCAATCCCGAAATCACCTCAACCCCAACAACAGCCACGTCTCCAAGAAGAACCAGTAAACTAGTGCTGCTGCCCCAGGGAGGCTGGAGCCTGGAGGTCCTGCAGACTCCCCAGGAGCTCTAGGGGTGGGCGGGTCTTCAGGCTAGGCCGTGTTTTCACTTACCTTCCCACGTTAAAGTGCCAGGTTTCTGTCCAGTTCCGATTCCCAAGAGAAAATCTAGTTAGCGATGTGCTTGTTTGGATACAAGCCACAATGTCTAATTGACCTTTCTCCAACAGAATCTCCAATTTTTAGACAGGCTCAAGGCTTCCCAAGGCTTATCATTATTCCTGCCCTTGCCCTCCCCAGCACTCCCAGCCCCTGCTGCCTGGAACATAGTGAATCATCACGGGCCCTGTGAACTAGGTCACAACCGAGGGATGGTAAACCAACAAGGTAGAAGGAACGGAGCCCCGAGTAATTTGTTGGAACAGAGCTTGGGCTTTAGCATGAGAGAGATGCAGACTTCTATTTTGTATAAGCCACTATTATTTTGGGTTTCTTCTGCACAGATAACCACACGTATCTCTAACTGGTCCATAGATTGGCTATATTTGGTACAGGCAGCTAGGGCTGGTGGGGATAAAGGACATGTGGTAGAGACACAGCCGTGCCAGCTCAAATGGCAGCCAAAGGGAGTCTCCCCACTCTTCTCTCTACAGGAGATACAGGATGGTCAGTTTCCTTCAGAAGATGCTTCCTATGAAAGACACCACTTGCTGATGTTGTTACGGAAACCCCAGGGATAAGGTCTAGGCCCTGCAGCTTGCTGCACAAAAAAGCCAATCACTGAGAGGAGTATTGCCAAGGAAGAAGGCTTTAGTCAGGTGCTGCAGCCAAGGAGATGGGAGACCAGCTGCAAATCCATCTCCCTGACCTACAAAAACCAGGGGTCTATATAGCAGGAAGAAATGTGACTGTGTGGGGGGAACAGGAATGAGGGAGACATAAGGAAGCAATCATGATGATGAGGGGTCTGGTGTATCCTTGTCTGGATGCCGTCATCTGGTGTGTTTCAGTTCTTTGATACTTTTTTTTTTCATCAAATGCTCTCTCAGAATCACCTTTTGATACTTTTTTGAGAGGCCTGAGGATCTTTCCTGAGGAAGGAACTATGATAAAACAAGTATAAGCTTCAAACTTTAAAACCAGAGAGTCTGCCGGGCACGGTGGCTCATGTCTGTAATTCCAGCACTTTGGGAGGCCGAGGCGGGTGGATCACTTGAGGTCAGGAGTTCAAGACCAGCTTGGCCAACATGGTGGAACCCCATCTCTACTAAAAATAGAAAAATTAGCCAGGCCTGGTGGCACACGCCTGTAATCCCAGCTACTCGGGAGGCTGAGGCAGGAGAATCGCTTGAACCCAGGAGGCAGAGGTTGCAGTAAGCCGAGATCATGCCAGCGCACTCCAACCTGGGCAACAGAGCGAGACTCTGTCTCAAAAAAAAAAAAAAAAAAAATCACTTTCTATGTTTATCCAAAATAAAGTCTATAGGACTATTGGGCTGGTTTCAATGTGTCTGGAGCACCCCTTTCTTCTTGTTGCTAACCATCCCCATCACAGATATCCCTTCTTTGTTACCAAGTCAATTGTCAGTCCTCATCTTACTTTATTAATAGGTGATAACACTTGGCTGCTCCCTGCTCCTGGAAATACTTTCTGGTTTTCTTCCTCCTTGACTGGTCACTTTTTCTCAATCTCATTAGGTATTTCCTCTTCTCCCCACCTCTAAACCAGTGTTTTCCAAACAACAGTCATGCATCGCTTAACAACCAGGATACCCTCAGAGAAATGAATTTTTAGGTGATTTTGTTCTTGTGTGAACATCATAGAATGTATTTATGAAAACCTAGACTGTATCACCTACTGCACACCCAGGCTATATGGCATAGCCTATTGCTCCAAAGCTATAAACATGTACAGCAGGCTATGTGGTGAATACTGTAGGTCATTGTAACACAATGGTATTTGTGTATCTAAACATAACATAGGATACAACATATCCTGTGCACCTGTATAGGGCACTTACCATGACTGGAGCTTGCAAGACTGGAAGTTACTCTGTTACCAAAACACTGTCATCTCCTAGGATAGCAATGCCTGCTTCCAGGATAACTCCTGAAGGACCTCTCTGAGGCTGTTTTACAGTTAACGTTTTTTCTTGTAGGTCTAGGTCCTGCCACTCACAGCACAGGAAGCCAATGACTGAGACCATGATCTCACCGCACAGGAAGCCAATGACTGAGATGATTATTGGGCGATGCAGCCTGGAAGATGGGAGGTCAGTATCAAATCCATCTCCTTGACCCACTGAAGTTAGGAGTTTATATAGCAGGGAAGAAATGTAACAATGTGTGGGAAAATAGGAACTCAGGAGAGGTAGGATGGCAATCATGATGCATGAGAGGCGTGGTGTCTCACTGTCTGAGTGTAGTGGTCTGGTGAGTTTCCCTTCTTTGATACTTTTTTTTTGAGAAGAAGTTTCTCTCTTGTTGCCCAGGCTGGAGTGCAGTGGCACGATCTTGGCTCACTGCAATCTCCGCCTCCCCAGGTTCAAGCGGTTCTCCTGCCTCAGCCTCCTGAGTAGCTGGGATTACAGGCGCCTGCCACCACGCCCGGCTAATTTTTTGTATTTTTAGTAGAGACGGGGTTTCATCATGTTGACCAGGCTGGTCTCGAACTCCTGACCTCAGGTGATCCACCCATCTCGGCCTCCTAAAGTGCAGGGATTAGAGGCGTGAGCCACCGTGCCCAACCTGTTCTTTGATACTTTTGAGATGCCTGAAGTTCTTTCCTGAGGAAGGAACTCAGACAAAACAAATTTCAGTTTCAAGCTTTAAGACTAGAAGGGACACATTCTATGTTTATCAAAAAAAAAAAAAAAAAAAAAAAAAAACCTTGTCTATGGGACTATTGGGTGGGTTTCAGCTCTGGGTGTGTCATTGAATGGTGAGTGAATGTGAAGGCCTATGACATTACTATACACTACTGTAGACTTTATAACTGTTGCACACTTAGGCTACATTAAATTTATAAAAAGAATTGCCCTTCAATAAGTTACCTTTTCTGGCCAGGTGTGGTGGCGGGCAGATCACCTATCAGGAGTTCAAGTCCAGCCTGGCCAACATGGCGAAACCCTGTCTCTACTAAAAATACAAAAATTAACCGGGCGTGGTGGCACATGCCTGTAATCCCAGTTACTTCGGAGGCTGTGAGACAGGAGAATCTCTTGAACCTAGGAGGCGAAGGTTGCAGTGAGCCAAGATCGCGCCACTGCACTCCAGCCTGGGCGACAGAGCAACACTCCATCTCAAAATAAAAAAAAAAAAGAAGAAGAAGGAGAAGAAGAAAAGAAAAAGCTAAGAACTAAGGCACAAACACACACATTAGCCTAGGCCTATGCAAGGTCAGGGTCTTCAATCTCACTGTCTTCCACCTTCATAGCAAGGTCAGGGTCTTCAGTCTCACTGTCTTCCACCTTCATAGCTTGTCCCAGTGGAAAGTCTTCAAGGGCAGTAACAGGCATGGAGCTGTCATCTCCTGGGATAGCAATGCCTGCTTCTGGGATACCTCCCAAAGGACCTCTCTGAGGCTGTTTTACAGTTAACTTTTTTCTTATAAGTAGGAGTATACTGAGTATACTCTAAAATAATGATAAAAGGTATAGTATAGTAAGTACTTAAACCAGTAACAGAGTCGTTTATTATCATTAGCAAGTATTATATACTGTAGATAATTGTATTGCTGTACTTTTGTACAACTGACAGTGCAGTAGGCCTGTTTACACCAGCATCCTCACAAGCACAAGTAATGTATTATGCTAATGGCCACAACGTTACTAGGCAATAGGAATTTTTCAGCTTCGTTATAATTGTTTGGAACCACCATCATATATGTGGTCTACCATTGACTGAAATGCTGTTTTGTGGCACACAATTATATGGTAATCAGAATCATCTGAAAGTCTTGTTAAAACACAGTGCTGAACTCCACCCTCATTCAGGTGGTCTGAGGTGGTTCCTGAGAATTTGTGTTTCCACCAACTTCCCAGATGATGCTGAAGCTGCTCATCTGAGAACTAACCAAATGTTGAAATGCCCCAGAGCTCAGGCCTTGGGCCTCTCTTCTGTCAACACTAGGATAGCAGTAACTACTCTTAAATGATCTTGTTTTACCCACATGCTCTAAATACCACCCAAATGTGGTCAGCTTCCAGTTTATATCTCCAGCCTGGGCTTTTCCAAACCCTGACCTTGAGCTGTCTCCTCCACCTCTGGATTTGATGTTTCATAAACATCTTTAATGTAGCATGTTCGAAAGTGAACCTCTGCTGCTCCCCCTTCTCCACTGCCAAACCTCTTCCCCCTGCAGTTTCCCCACCTCAGTAAATGGCAGCTTGATCCTTTGGTTGCTCAATTCAGATACCTTGGAGTCACCATTTTCTTTATCTCACACTGCACATCCAGTTCCTCAGAAAATTCTGTTGGCTCTACTCTTTTTTTTTGAGACAGAGTCTTGTTCTGTCACCTAGGCTAGAGTGCAGTGGCGCAATCTTGGCTCACTGCAACCTCTGCCTCCTGGGTTCAAGAGATTCTCCTGCCCCAGCCTCCCGAGTAGCTGGGACTACAGGCGCCGCCACCACGCCCAGCTCAGCCTGCATAATCCTTCCCCCATGTGGCCGCCAGACTTGCTCTGTCACCAGCGCCAAGCCTCTGTTCACCATCTCTGTGAAGCCTTTTTGTCCTTCGTTACTTTATTGCTTTTCCATAGCACCTATCTCTTTCTGATATTATAATTATTAATTTTATTTGTTGAGTGTCCCCCCGTGCACATGCACCAGGGATCAGGCTCCCCGGGGAAGGAGCATCCCCAGAATATTTCCTGGTACTGACGTGGTCAGTAACTGAAGGACAGTATACTCTTCTCTGTATGATGCAGAGAAGGTAAAAGTACCTGAAACTAATGTGGTTCTCATTGCTTTTCTTGGCTTTGATTTGTGCGCTTCTGGAAAATTCGAACTTTCTTTACACATAGACACGGGCACTACTTTGGAATAATGTGGCCTTGAACAGCAGTGGCGCCGCCTCCCACTGCAGCACATAAATTGGTGTCACACAGCAGCAGGGTGGAATTGGAACACCTTGTAATAAAAACCCGTTGTCTCTTACAGGTAGATTAACCCTGAGTTTCCAAAACTTACGAGAACATCTATTTCCTTCTAATAGGTCTGACGTCCTGTCAGGAAAGCATCCTTGCCTGTCTTAAGCAGCAGTAGTGCCATAAAAGGCCATTTACTTTGATGTGAAAGCTGATGTTAAGAGAAATGAATACGGAATCTGTTCATCACCATGGAAGAGGGCAAAGCCAAAAATGTGAAGGAAGGATTTGGGTAGCAAACGGGTGAAGATTTGGGGTACATGAGATTCAACATAAGAGAGAGAGAGGTGCCAAAGGCCTCAGATAGTGTGAGAGGCAGGCAGACCTGAGGCAGGAAGTCAGGCTTGGAGTGAAGCAGCAGAGGGAGTTCATCGGGCCTGTGTCTTGTGCCTCGTCACATCCCTTAGGCTTCTGCAGAGGCCCTCGGCCATTTGTTCCACTTCAGCTGCCAGGGCCTGTCAGTCCACTCAGCTCTTCCGTTTGCACCACCCGCAGCTGGACGGTTACCTGCCTGGGAGTGCCAGGCTCTCCTCCTGCCAGCCAAAGGCCAAAGAGCTGCACACTCAGGTTTCGGACCCCTCACACCACTTCCGGCCTTGTTGAAGGGCCATACAGTGGGTTGTGGGGTCTGGCTTCCCTAGGAGTGGCTGGGTGATGCCAGCTGAAGTGTGGGGGCATCCAAGAGATGGAGGGAGCTGATCAGATTAATTCCTTCGGCTTCCCTGTACCCATTATTGCTCCGGGGCACGGTCGCTGCACATACGCTGGAATGTGGGCTTCTTACAGAGCCGAGTAGATGCACATGCTGAATAATCTCTCTCCCAGCTGGTGAAGTAAAAATCGACAGGCAAACATCATCTTGCATTTCTTCCCATCCTTTCCTGCTTCACTCCCTTTTCCTCACTCATGTCGCCCTAGGTTTGCACCTCATAAAGCACCAGCTCTTAATCCTTGCCTCGAGCTCTATTTCCTAGGGAATTTGGGCTAAGACTAGGAGCATGACTGCCTGTGACCCCTGGTCCCTCTAATGGCAGCATTGTCGCAAGGGAGAACTGTGAGCCAGGAGCAGTGGCTCATGGTGGAGCAGGAGCAGTGGTTAGGATCAAGTGATGAAGGCAGAGCCACAGGCCTGGATCAAGCGAGGAGGAGCCTGGAGACAAGCCCCTGGGGGAGAATGACAGAGGGGCTCTGGTCCTAGCACCAGGAACTTCAAGGAAGCAAATCCCTTACTCCCTTACCGTCTTAGAGTTGCTCAAGGAGACTTAGTGTCGTGGCCAGAGCCTTAAAGAACTCTAGTATAGCAGGAATTTACTTGTGAAATTTCTGGCCATCTCTGACTGATGAACTCACGTTGGTGGTAGAGGAGCTGTTGCAAATAGCAGTCCAGAAAAGAGCCACAGAATGAGGCCAAGACAGCTGCTGACATCACAAGCAATAACCAGATGGACTTCTGGAACCTGATAAATGCCGACCTGGTGTTTTATCTGGTATTTGAAAGGAGCAACCATGAAGACTGAAGAATGCAAAGATACCTGGGACGTGGAGGTCTATATGGGCAGTTTCTGTCAAGCCAGGTGGTACAGTGGTCCACACCCACTTTGCCCAGACACAGGACATTCAGGGTTGGTTTTAGCCTGTCTTTGGTTTGCTGATATCTGCTTGGCTTGTTCCCCCACAATAGCTAAACGAGTATTATGGATTCTTTGAAACTCATAAAGTCATAATCAATAGAGGGGGTCTTATTTCCATCCATGCTTCCATCAGATAGACTTACTGATATGGCTTTTCAAGGGAGTTACAGAAAACTCCCATTTCCTAGCAGGGTAGCTGTTGGGGGTTATTAGGAAAGAAATAGCAGGAATGGGCACCCATGTTGTGAGGAAAACAAATAGACCTTTAGATGAGAAACACCTTCCAGCCTATATCCTGTCATTCTCTTGCACCAAGAGGATGCTTGGGATGTCCCTTTCACCACCTCCAAACAACAGAGTGAGATAAGTAGTAGACCTGGGGGGCCATCAGGCATCTCCACAGACAGGTGTAATAATAGTCAAGAACTCCATACTGAAGTGACTCTTGGTAACCAGTTAGCCAACTGTGAACAGTGTGGTTGTATATTTTGTTTATAATTCATTCTGCGTGTACTTTGAAAAGATAGTTGTATATGGATGAATGGATTTATTTTTAGTGAGAGTGGCAGAGAAGTTGGCCTGAAGAGAACCAGCCAAAGGATGTTTGAAAGATGCTGGAATTGGACTGTCAGATACTTATGAGGGATTTGCAAAGAACGATACTGGACTGTGGGGACAGGGAAGGTCCACACCTCCTCCGTGACTATTATTCTGCCCTTGTGAGCTACAATCCTGGAGGCGTCAGTGCTCTGGAGCTGACCATAAAGCTTCTGAGGTCAGGCCAGCCACATAGTGAAGTACTGCTCACCTCCCTTCTGGTCCCAATATGAGGATGGAAGAGTTAGCTGTTTTTCTATGGAATCTATGTATTGTTTTGGAAAGTTTGACAGGAACTTCCTTTGGTTGTAAGTACAATGGTTAATTACATCGGGTTTTATTCTCTCACATTCAAGTCCAGAAGTAAGCAGTCCAGGGCTGAGATGAAGGCTCTGTAAGATTATCAGGGAATCAGGCATCCTCTGTTTTTCTCCTCTGCCATCCTTAAGGCATGGCTTATGTCCTCAAAGTCACAAGGTGGCTATTGGGGTTCCAGCCATTAAATCCACATTCCAGGTAGAAAGAAGGAAAAGTCAAGGCCAAAAGGGAGTTTCCTAGCTGTTACTCTTTCTTTTAAGTACCTGACCAGAAGTCCTATCCAAAAAATTTGATTTTTATCAGCATAGCATTCACCTGATATTTGATTTATCAATATTTCATTGGCCTGATTAGCTATACCTAGCTGCAAAAGAAGCCAAGAAATATAGTTGGGTGCTCTGCTGCTCAGAATAGAACCAGAGTTCCTATCATTAAGGAGGTGAAGAATGACTTCTGGCTAAACACAAACAGCTTCTGCCGCAGTAAGCATTACTCAGTGCTCTTTGTCAACACTTTAGCTCTTGCCAGCTACTTTATCATGAGAATCTATAAGGTGGCTCGAAACCCTGAACCTCTGATCTTAGAGTAGATGGCCTTTTGCATCTTCTGCAGACTCTGCACAGGTTTTGTACACAAGTATGATGGGGAGGAATCCACATCTTTGTGTGGCACCTCTGGCATGTTCAACAGGCTGGGTACCACACCAGCGGCCAGATATTTGATCATCATGAGGACTGGTTTTTTTGAGGCCTCTGCTACTGGGGTTCACCATCACTTCATTTGTCCTGCCTGAAGTTCCACATTCCTGCTCATTTACAGGATGAAAGAAGGAAGGGCCATACTAATTCTCTATCCTTCATCCACAGGAGTGTGAATATGGGACAAGAAATTAAAATAATTATGCTTTTTAATGCCTGGATAGCAAGAGCCTATCCTCCTCCTCATCCTGGTGCTCACACACTCTCAGCAGCTGTCTGAAATTACTGCTTTACTCCTAAGCAGGATTTCTTAAAGCCATAGATGTGAGGAAGCTGATCTAAGTCTCTATTGTGTAGGTGTGGACAGGACAGTCTGTGTTTCGGCTTCATGGTACTGATGTTGAGGGCAAGAAGGACATCATGTCTCATAGGCCTGGCCTTCAGTCACATCCTCATGCCTGTTGCTTTGGTACTGAGGGATGACCATTTGTAGACAAGCAGTGTCTGGAGTTAACTTTCACTTTGTGGTATCCTTTGAGATTAGACAAAGCCCCATTTCCTGTAGCCGTTTTCACAGTGGCTAACCTCTTCAGCCTGGGACCCCACCCAGCTGCCACGGCTGTGCCTGGATGCTGCACAGGACTCCGAACTTTTTGGGATGAACATGTTTCCCTTCCACAGCTACAAGTGAATATATGGTGAGAAAGGGAAAAGTCTGGCACGGTGGCTCATGCCTATAATCCCAACACTTTGGGAGGCCGAGGCAGGCGGATCATGAGTTCAAGAGATCGAGACCATCCTGGCCAACATGGTGAAAACCTGCCTCTACTAAAAATACAAAAATTAGCTGGGTGTGGTGGCATGCGCCTGTAGTCCCAGCTACTCAGGAGGCTGAGGCAGGAGAATCACTTGAACCTGGGAGGCGGAGGTTGCAGTGAGCTGAGATGGCGCCATTGCACTCCATCCTGGGCGACAGAACAAGAATCCATCTCAAGAAAAAAAAAAAAGAGAGAGAGAGAGAGAGAAAGGGAAGGGGCTATATCCAGGGTGCTGTGGAATGGCAGAGCCAGACTAAGGAAGCTTGGTTATCAGTAAAATTAAACAAAGATGAAACAACCACCACCACTGTAGAAACAAGGATAGTTGGGTGATGGATTTGTCTTCCAGAACCCAGAGGTCAGGTCTGGGGCCAGAAGACCACAAGTAAAGGGAAACACAGGGTGCTGAGCCGAGTGAAGAACAGGAACACATAACCAGAATCAGAGCTCCAGGAAGAGACAAGAGGAGCAGATGAAGAGCTCACAGCACAGCTATAGTGAAGGCACTGGCAGTCCTAAGTACATAGAAGCTTGATGTTTCTTATGGTTTTTTTTTTTTAATTGTTTTAATTTTTTTTTTTTTTTTTGTGAGACGGAGTCTCGCTCTGTCGCCCAGGCTGGAGTGCAGTGGCGCGATCTCGGCTCACTGCAAGCTCCACCTCCCAGGTTCATGCCATTCTCCTGCCTCAGCCTCCGAGTAGCTAGGACTACAGGCGCCCACCACTGTGCCTGTAGAGACGGGGTTTCACCGTGTTAGCCAGGATAGTCTCGATCTCCTGACCTCATGATCTGCCCGCTTTGGCCTTCCAAAGTGCTAGGATTACAGGCGTGAGCCACTGTGCCCCGCCTATTCTTTCTATCTTTTTTTGTACCCATTAACCATCCCCACCTCCCTCCTACCCCCCACTACTCTTTGCAGCCTCTGGTAACCATCCTTCTACTCTCTATGTCCATAAGTTCAATTGTTTTTTAGATCCTACAAATAAGTGAGAGCAGGTGATGTTTGCCTTTCTGTGCCTGACGTATTTCACTTAGCATAATAACCTCCAGCTCTATCCATGTTGTTGCAAATGACAGGATCTCATTATTTTTTATGGCTGAATAGTACTCCATTGTGTATAAGCACCAAATTTTCTTTGATGTTTATTTTCTTACTAAAGTTTCTAGTTGTATAAGTGCATTTGATTTTTGGCTCAAGTACTCAGGTATTCATTCGTGTAGAGAATACATGATGAGGCCAGGCACAGTGGTTCATGCCTATCATCCCAGCACTTTGGGAGGCTGAGCCGGGTGGATTATGAGATCAGGAGTTCAAGACCAGCCTGGCCAATATGGTGAAACCTCGTCTCTACTAAAAATACAAAAGTTAACTGGGTATGGTGGCGGGCGCCTCTAGTCCCAGCTACTCAGGAGGCTGAGGCAGGAGAATCGCTTGAACCCGGGAGGCGGAGGTTGCAGTGAGTTGAGATTGCACCGCTGCACTCCAGCCTGGGTGAGAGAGCGAGACTCCATCTCAAAAAAAGAAAGAAAGAAAGAAAATATATGATGAGTGCCAGGCACCACACTGGGAGCACAGCAATACATAGATGTGAAGGAGCTCTTGTTCTCCTGCAGCATTCAGCCTTGCGATAAATAAATAAATAATACGTCTGTTGCCTGTCTTAGGGTTTCCTTCAAACACCTGCAAAGCATATTGATTGGAGAGCTTCTGACCAATTTGGGGATCCTCCAGGCATCCTCTCAAATTTGAGGTATCCCAACGAAGCGTATGGCATGGTTGATTGAGACTGTTTATGAAGACTGTGGTCCCAAATGGAGGTATGAGGATAAGCAGTTGATAGAAGGTGCTCAAACAGAAATCGCCATTACCTTGAACAAACACGTGCTGAGTCTCACTGGGGACTACTTGTCTGGCTGAAGCACCTCCACGGTACCCGGAAGCCTGATTTTCATAAGCATCACTGATGTTGGGTGATAGAGGATTTGCGACTGAAGACTTTCCCACAGGTGCTGCACTCATGGAGCTTCTCTCCAGGGTGCACTCTCTGATGGTGAGTGAGCCACCTTTTCTGCAGGAAGGTTTTCCTACATGCAATGCGCTCATGGGGCTTGTCTCCACTATGAATTTTCTGATGCTGATAATGGGATGAGCCGTCAAAGAAAACCTTCCCACAGTCATTATCTTCGGAATGCGTCTCTACAGTGTGCACTGTCCTGTGTCGAATGAGGGATGAATGGTCCAACAGAGCTCTGCCCTACCCCTGCATTCCTAGGGCCACTCTTCAGGGCGGGTTAGCTGTGGCCGGAATACCTTTCCCGCTGAAGGGTTCTCCACACACTGTGCATTCATAAGGACTTTCTCCAGGATGAGTTCACCGATGTCCAGTAAGGGTTAATCAGTTGTAGAAAGTTTTCATTGCATTCAAAGGGGCTCTTCCCAGGGTGTGACGTCAGTTGTTTCTCTTTTCAATTTTAATTAATGTTATAGAGACAAGGTCTCACTATGTTGCTCAAGCTGGTCTCAAACTCCTAGGCACAAGTGATCCTCCCAAAGTGCTGGGATTACAGGCATGAACCACCACGCTGGCTGACATCAGGTTTTTCTTAAGGCTCCTACAGCTGAAGCCTTTTCTGCATTCTTTTTTTTTTTTCTTATTATACTTTAAGTTCTAGGGTACATGTGCACAAAGTGCAGGTTTGTTACATGTGTATCCATGTGCCATGTTGGTGTGCTGCACCCATTAACTCGTCATTTACATTAGGTATATCTCCTAATGCTATCCCTCCCCTCCCCTAACCCTGTGACAGGCCCTGGTGTGTGATGTTCCCCTTCCTGTGTCCAAGTGTTCTCATTGTTCAATTCCCACCTATGAGTGAGAACATGAGGTGCTTGGTTTTCTGTTCTTGTGATAGTTTGCTCAGAATGATGATTTCCAGCTGCATCCATGTCCCTACAAAGGACATGAACTCATCTTTTTTTTAATGGCTACATAGTATTCCATGGTGAATATGTGCCACATTTTCTTAATCCAGTCTGTCATTGATGGACATTTGGGTTGGTTCCAAGTCTTTGCTATTGTAAATAGTGCCGCAATAACATATGTGTACATGTGTCTTTATAGCAGCATGATTTATAATCCTTTGGGTACATACCTGGTTATGGGATGGCTCGGTCAAATGGTATTTCTAGTTCTAGATCCTTGAGGAATCGCCACACTGTCTTCCACAATGGTTGAACTAGTTTACAGTCCCACCAACAGTGTAAAAGTGTTCCTATTTCTCCACATCCTCTCCAGCACCTGTTGTTTCCTGAGTTTTTAATGATCGCCATTCTAACTGGTATGAAATGGTATTTCATTGTGGTTTTGATTTGCATTTCTCTGATGGCAAGTGATGATGAGCATTTTTTGGTGTGTCTATTGGCTGCATAAATGTCTTCTTTTGAGAAATGTCTGTTCATGTGCTTTGCCCACTTTTTGAAGGGGTTGTTTGTTATTTTCTTGTAAATTTGTTTGAGTTCTTTGTAGGTTCTGGATATTAGCCCTTTGTCAGATGAGTAGATTGCAAAAATTTTCTCCCATTCTGTAGGTTGCCTGTTCACTCTGATGATAGTTTCTTTTGCTGTGCAGAAGCTCTTTAATTTAATTACATCCCATTTGTCTATTTTGGCTTTTGTTGCCATTGCTTTTGGTGTTTTAGACATGAAGTCTTTGCCCATGCCTATGTCCTGAATGGTACTACCTAGGTTTTCCTCTAGGATTTTTATGGTATTAGGTCTCACATTTAAGTCTCTAATCCATCTTGAATTAATTTTCATATAAGGAGTAAGGAAAGGATCCAGTTTGGGAGGCCAAAGGATCCTTGGGAGGCCAAGGCAGGTGGATCACCTGACTTTGGGAGTTCATGACTATCCTGGTCAACATGGTGAAACCCCGTCTCTACTAAAAAAATACAAAAAATTAGCTGGGTGTAGTGGTGCATGCCTGTAATCTCAGCTACTGGGAAGGCTGAGGCAGGAGAATTGCTTGAACCCGGGTGGCGAAGGTTGCAGTGAGCCGAGATCATGCTACTGCACTCCAGCCTGGGCGACAGACTGAGACTCCGTCTCAAAACAAAAAAAAAAAAAGAAAATAGTATATAAGCTTTCTAGTCAAAGATAATTAGGGATAATATCTTGGTGTTGGTCCTTCTTTTTCTATGCCTATATGTGGAAATATATTGTAAATGTATTCAAGTTCCAAACATTTTGTAACCTGGGTTTATCATTTAGCAATATATTATCATCTTTCCAACTCTGTAAATATCACTGCTAAATGTCACTGATAAACTCCAGTGGAGCCTTCTCAGGCTTTGTCTTCCTTGATTACCTGGCAACATGGAGTGTTTTGATCATTCCCTCTTTCTTGAAAATCTTGTGACTTCTTTGACACTGCTGTCCCCTGGTATTTCTCTGACCCCTCTATCTCCATCTACTCATTCTCCTTTGAAGCCTCGTCCTGTCTTCACGCCCCTTAAATCTTGGTCTTCCTGCGACCCATCACATGAGATCAGATGTGGAATTTTCCACTTGTGGCTTTAGCTCAGCACTCAAAAAGCTTCACATTTTGGGGCATTTTGGATTTCAAATTATAATGGTCAATCTGTATATACATTTCCCAATCCACTCAAACCCTTGTAAAAGCATTTCAGAGAAGCCCCCTCACTAGATCCCCATCACCCAACTCAACATGTCTACTTCAACTTGCTTTTTACCACAGGAGTCTTGCCTCAATAACATAGACCACTTAGGAACTTGATATCCATTGCAGTCAATCTCTTAGACTTCCTGAGGAATCAGTTCTAGCTGGTTATTGAAAATGAACATATTCGTCTTGTCTAATGGCTGGCACCTGGTATCTTTGCTTCCATCTTCAGCTCTGTGTGATTTATTATGTCAGACTTGCAGAGGGGGTTATTCTTAGAAATGCAGGCCTGGGGAGGAGGGGGTGGGTGTGCCTGAGCCCAGAAGCTGGCCAACCCTCCCGCTGGCCGCCCTAGCATCCTGACACCCCAGATGCATTTCTGGGATTGGTGGGCCTGCCAACTGTCTGTGCCAGGTTGCGGTGCCCAGCTTTTTGCCATCTGCCATATTCTTTCCATTGCAAGGTTCTCTAGCATTGCCAACCTTTCTTTTGATTCTTGGAATGCTTCTGTGCCTTTGTGTGGCAAGCAGTCAATTCTCTCTTAAAACTTAAGAGTTTGGCCAGGCGCACTGGCTCACACCTGTAACCCTAGCACTTTGGGAGGTGGTGGCGGGTGGCTCACGAGGTCAGGTGTTTGAAACCAGCCTGGCCAACATAGTGAAACCCCGTCTCTACTAAAAATACAAAAAATTAGCCGGGCGTGGTGGCAGGCGCCTGTATTCCCAGCTACTTGGGAGGCTGAGGTGGGAGAATTGCTTGAACCTGGGAGGCAGAGGTTGCAGTAACCGAAACCGCGCCACTGCACTCTAGCCTGGGCGACAGAGCGAGACACTGTCTCAAAAGAAAGAAACAAACAAAAAACAAAAACTTTGTCATCAGTAATATTATTTCATGTCTTTGAAACTCCTTTTAAAGCTTGACATCAGTGATATTATTTCTTTGAGGCTCAAACCCCTGCAAACACTATCCCGTCATTTTTGCTTTATACCTTAAGAATGCTGATATTCTTCCAATTTGATCAATTTCTGATTCCAAGATTTGACCCTACTAATGGCCATTAGGTGAAGCCAAAACCTCAAAATTTAAGGTCTCCACTACTACATGCCATATTGGGAGATATTAATTAAAAGATAAAATGGCCATTTCCTGTTTTTAGAAGGAAGTGGAACAGTATCCACACTGAAAGAAAAAAAAAAAAAGCTCTGATAACCAAATTTAAAAGGGGAACAAAGGGAAAACCATCAAATCCATATCTCCACTCTGTTTCCATTACTACTGTGCTCAAAAGTCCATTGGTATCTTTTCCAAGGATAATAGAGTAAAAAAGATGTCCATCGAATCCTGAATTCGTTCCAGTCTCATCTTGCTGAAAATGGTAGAATGTATTAGGGAAATACCTGACCCTCAATTTACTTTTAATGAGGCAGTAAAAATTCAGAACTCCCAGACAGTCATCAGCCAAAAGTTTGTCCATAGTTTTTTTATTTCCTACTTGACATTATTTAGCAATATCGCATATTGTCCACACCCACAGATTCTGTTACGTGTTTTTCCTCAAGTTGCTTTCAAAAGTCCACAGATCAAGTCTTCCCTGCCGTTTGTCTGCTCTAGGGTGAACAGAGGAATAGGGTTGTTAGTAGGTTGAGGAGGGTCTGTTTGGTAATTCAGCTTCCCGAATCTGACTTGAACTTCCAGAGGAAATTCATCTCAATCCACGGGGAATCACGTAGGGCAGTCTAATTCCAGACAGCCTTTCAGAACCAGGTCCTTTTCTGAGCTTCACCCTAAGCGAAGAGCAAGAGAATGCAGATGCCTAGAGTCGAGGTCATCTAGTGCGTATCCTTTAACAAAAATGAAAATACAGGACTGGGCCCAGGGAATAGAAGGGTTTTTGGAGTCAGGAGGTAAAGTTCAGCAATGGGGATCATGTTAAGGCAGATCTTAAATATTGAGATAATTTTTCACTGAATAGGAAGCTATTTTAGGTCTTGAGGAAGGCAACGATGGGCAGGAAGGGGTCACTTGCAAAGACTGGGTTAACAGTAATATGCAAACTGTAACGGTGACAGAGGCTCTCGGTGTTAACCAGCTTTCGAGGTGCTTGTTTACTTTGTGACAGAGGCTCTCGGTGTTAACCAGCTTTCGAGGTGCTTGTTTACTTTATGACAGAGGCTCTCGGTGTTAACCAGCTTTCGAGGTGCTTGTTTACTTTGCTGGCCTCCAAGTGCTGGGTTCTGGCTTCTTATATGTGGACAGAAGTGATGTAAGCCTGGGTCTAAAAAGAAATCCGACAAATTCCTCTAGCATTCTCTTCCTCCCTTGTGGTGACTTTGGAAGCCAGATGTTCCAAATAATGAGGACAGAATAAGACAGAGTGGTTCCCGTCAGGTTTTAAGGGAGAAATAGCTCTCTGTGGGCTATTACTGTACCACATCTTAGCACATCCCTCTTCAACAATCAAGTGGGAAGAACTGGAATTAGGAAGCTACTGCTGCCAGGAGTGGGAGCTGGGGATGATAAAAGTGTAGGCTGGGCTGTGAATTCAGACAAAGAATGCAAATCCAAGAGGTGTTTTGAATGGAGAGAATCTGGTAAGTAGAAAAGTCATTCATTCATATAAATATTTATTGAGCACCCATTAGCAAGGCACTGTGTGAGATACAAAGACCTGTAAGTCACACCTCCAAGTGCTTACAATCTAGTTGAGAGGATAATACATATACATAAATTATAAAACAAACTGTCAAGCATAATGGTAAAGAAAATAGACTTTGAAGGTGGACCTGTCTTCAAGACCTGGCATCACCTTTTACCAGCTGGGTCACCTTGGGCAAGTGATTTAATCTCTATAAACCTCAGGGTGCTCATCTAGAGATGCAGATGGTAACAGTGCCTACTTCATAGGGTTGGCGACAGGATCAGTTAATCTACTTCCTGTAAAACCCTTAGCTGAGTCTTTACCTCATCGTAAGCGCTCAGGAAGTGCCAGCTACTAGCAGTAGAAGGAAGAGGTCTAAAAGCTGGGACACAAGAGAACAAGATTAGGGCCCCAAAAAGCTCCAAGACAGGGGGACTAAAGCAGCCATCAAAACAACTGTTCTGAAAAAAAATAGTACTGCTCTGGTATCATTCTGCCTTTCCCTCCTGCTGCAGCCGCCAGTTACTTAAAGTGCAGTGATACCCGGGGCCTAGGTTCTCAGACAAGAGGTGTGTCTCCTCCTAACATCTATCCTATTGTCTGACAAACCTCATCAAACTTTTGTATCGTTAGAGTCATTTCCATGGCCTGCCTGCGGTTCTGTAACACAGCAGGAAGGGAGTCATCTCCGTGGCCTGCCTGCAGTTCTATAACACAGCAGGAAGGGAGTCATCTCCGTGGCCTGCCTGCAGTTCTGTAACACAGCAGGAAGGGAGTCATCTCCGTGGCCTGCCTGCAGTTCTGTAACACAGCAGGAAGGGAGTGCCTATTGAACACTCTGGCGCACAAGCAGGCCAGGACAGCGGCAGCCAGGGTGGGTAGAATGAGTAAATGGCAGCTTTGTTTAAGACAGGGGAGACCTATCTCGAATTTGTATGGAAGTTCTTGTCCCGCCCAAGCTTTCACCCAACTCAGTCTATTCCCTGCTTGGCGTAACGCCGCTGATGCTGAATAACGGAAGATTTTGAACTGAAAACTTTCCCACACACACTGCATTCAAAGGGCTTCTCTCCCGTGTGGACGCGCTGATGCCGCGTGAGCCGGCATCGCTGGCTGAAGGCTTTCCCGCACTCGCTGCATTCATATGGCTTGTCTCCAGTGTGGATCTTCTGATGCTGCGTAAGGGATGAGCGGTCAAAGAAAGCTTTGCCACACTCGTTACACTGATAGCGAGGGTCCCCGGCGTGAGCCTTCTGATGTCTGTTCAGTGACGAGACCCCATAGAAAGCTTTCCCGCACTCGTTACACTCGTACGGCTTCCTGCCAGTGTGGATTAGCTGGTGGCGAGTAAGAATGCTTTTCTGGCTGAAGGCTTTCCCACACTCATGACATTCATAAGGACTTTCTCCAGTGTGAATTCTCTGGTGTCGAGTAAGGGACGAACGGTCAAAAAAGGCTTTCCCACACTCGCTGCACTGAAAGGGCTTCTCTCCGGTGTGGATTCGCTGGTGGACAGTGAGGGACGAGCGGTCGAAGAAGGCTTTTGCGCACACGCTGCACTCGTAGGGGCTCTCCCCGGTGTGCGACATCAGATGTCTGCTGAGGCTGCTCCTGTGGCTGAAGGCTTTCCCACACTCACGGCAGCCGTAGGGCTTCTCCCCAGTGTGAGTCCTCTGATGGCGGGTGAGGGATGAGTGGTCAAAGAAGGTCTTCCCACAGTCACTGCATTCCTGGTGTCTCTCTTTAGTGAGAACTTCCCTGGGCAGGGCTGACCCTCGCCGCACGCCTTTCTCCCGGGAGAGAGATTTCTTATGAGTCTCCCCTGAAGGGCTTTGCTTTTCTGTTCCCATCCTGCCATCGGGTGCATAAACTTCAAATTTAGGACACAGAGGACTTTGCCTTCCAAGGCATTCCCTCAATGATCCTTCTGATTTTTCGTCTGAAGCATCATGAATCTCACGCTTCGTTTCTGGAACAAACAGAAAACAGGTGCAGTTTTTTTTCCTGGACTAGAAAATATTACAGCAGAAAGAAGAGATGCTTCCATGAGTCTGAAAGTAATGTATGGTCACTGCATTGCTTGCTCCCACAAATAGTACTACACTGCAGAGAGGGACTGAGACCTGGGATTGAAGAAGGTGGCAGGGAACAGAACGGATGGTGGACACCTCAGAAAACAGGAGAATGTCCAGCGGGAGCATGGCCAGCACAATTACGAGAGCATGCCGAATGGACTGGATGGCGCTCAATAGAAATAGCAAAGTGTGGCTGGGCACAGTGGCTCACTCCTATAATCCCAGCACTTTGGGAGGCCAAGGTGGGTGGATCACCTGAGGTCAGGAGTTCGAGACCAGCGTGGCCATCATGGCAAAACCCCGTCTCACTAAAATACAAAAATTATCCGGGTGTGGTGGCAGGCGCCTGTAATCCCAGCTATTTGGGAGGCTGAGGCAGGAGAAGCACTTGAACCCGGGAGGCGGAGGTTACAGTGAGCCAAGACAGCCCCACTGCACTCCAGCCTGGGCAACAGAGCGAGACTCTGTCTTGGAAAAAAAAAAAAGGAAAGAGCAAGGCATGAGTGTGCCGTGTGACAGATGTGAGAAAGTAACACTTGGTGAATATAGACGAATAACACGTTAAGGTGTAAAGGGAAAAAATGAAAGCTAGTGGGTGACACACAATAAATAACAAGCAAAAGACTGGAATGTGAGAGAAAGGCGAGAGCTGATGTTCCCCCATCACCCAAATAACAAAATTCCATCCTGTCCTGTTCACACTCAGTTACCTAGAGAGACACTCTCTGGCCGTTCTCTCTCCTCAGACCCATGCAGATCTACTACCCATGGCTTGTCCCCTCTCTTCAATTGGAAAATCACATCAGGTTGAGGAACTGGAAGGCCTGCTCAAAGAGAAAGAAACAAAGCAAGTGGCTGTGTGTGATGAAATACCACTCTCCCAAAGCTCAATCCCAGCTTCTAAGACTTTTTTGTTGCTGTTGAGACAGCGTCTCATTCTGTCGCCCCAGCTGGAGTGCAGTGGCCCGATCTCGGCTCACTGCAACCTCCACCTCCCAGGTTCAAGTGATTCTCCTGCCTCAGCCTCCCCACTAGCTGGAATTACAGGCGGGTGCCACCACACCTGGCTAATTTTTGTATTTTTAGTAGAGAAGGAGCTTTGCCATGATGGCCACGCTGGTCTCGAACTCCTGACCTCAGGTGATCCGCCTGCCTCGGCCTCCAAAACAGCTGGGATTACAGGCATAAGCCACTGTGCCTGGACACAGCGTCTAAGTCTTTTAGAGAGAAAATGCAAAAGGCAGAATGCACAGGCCAAGAATGCAGAGTCCAAAGCAGAGGAAACTCTGGACAGAGGCCAAGACTGAGGCTATAAAAGGAGCAAGTGGCACAAGGTCAGAAGGTTGAGAGAACCCATGTGGATTCACATGTTTATTCTTCCCCGTGAAGTGAATGGGAAGTTCCCGGTGTTAGTACTGGTAGGATGAAGGCTTAGGGGAGATGAGAATGAAATTAAGTCACCTTGAATAAAAAAGTGTATCAAAACTGCCCATTTTTGTTCATTTGTTTGCCTTGAGCACTATGCTTTCATTGAAACAAATCTGTCCGGTTCATTCTAGGAAAATTAGAAGTCTATACAAGCAAAAAGAAAAAAAATCACCTTGCATACAGTGTATTTTCTTTCTTTCTATTCAGATATCCAAAGATGCCTCTAGATACATTCTGTTAAAAACTGGATAATGAGGCTGGGCACAGCGGCCCCCCCCTGTAATCCCAGCACTTTGGGAGGCCAAGACGAGTAGATCACCTGAGGTCAGGAGTTCGAGACCAGCCTGGCCAACATGGTGAAACCCCGTCTCTACTAAAAATACACAAATTAGCAGGGTATGGTAGCTCATGGCTGTAATCCCAGCTACTTGGGAGACTGAGGCACAAGAACTGCTTGAACCCTGGAGACGGAGGTTGTAGTGAGCCGAGATTGCATCACTGCACTCCAGTCTAGGCAACAGAGTGAGACTCTCTCAAATGAAAAAATAAAATTAAATTAAAAAATAAAAAACTGGATAATGAAATGATGCTGACTTGTAAACTTGATTTTTCTTTTCACATAATAAATTTAAAATACTATTTTACTTCAATCAGCACTGATCTACCTCACCATTGTAATAGCTACGGGATATGACATTGTATGGATAACATAGTTTATTTAATGAATTCCCTTATGACAGACATTTAGATCATTTTTAATGTTTTGCTATTAACAAACAATAGTGTAATGAACATCTCCATATACCACGGATTGTTAGTCCTATTATTTCCTTAGGATAAATTCCCTGAAGCAAATCTATCCATTTTTGGTTATATTAAAAAATAGGTCCTGGAAATAGGCTTGGGCTCTAAACTTCCCTTTTGTTGAGGCCCCAACTTGGGAAAGAGGCACTTTCTTATTGGGCCCAAGGACTGTCTACTGGGTTTTATGTAGATTCTCTGTTGACAAAATGGCCACACCCAGCATCTCCCTGTGGCTCTCGGTCCCTGACCTCAGGGGCTCTATTTTCCTCAACAGCCATCGGCTAACGCCTGTAACAAAGGCTCCTTCCTGAATATTCCATTCTGTTTGGGAGACTACTGGCCTGATTACATTACTCTGGGGGGTGTTAGCACTTACTTTGAGACCTGCCTGGTAGGAAATCTGCACTGCGAGTCCTGTTACTGCTGTTGAGTTTAAACTGGCTTCTCATTCTGGGCACTCCCTCAGCCTCTCACTCGTGAAGCCCCTGAGAGGTTCCCATAACCTCCAGGAGCCCAACTTTACTTTTCACTAATACCGGAATCAGTAGTGACTCAACTTTCTCTGTCACACAAGTCTCTATAGTTACAAAGTGTGTTCTGTGAGCATCTAAGACTGTACCTAAGACAAATACTCAAAATCAAACATATCTCTGGTGACCTCAGAAGCACAACCCTCTATTCCGACAAGATGGCCCCCTTCCCCAGCACACACTCCTCTGGGTGAGCTGAGTTACCTGACTGGCGAGTTGGGAGAATAGCTGGGCATATGGAACTCAGCGTTTTCCGCCTGCCCCTCTGGAGACCCAGCTCCCTGCCTCTAACACACATTCTGCTCGGTCGCTCAGCCCTCACTGGCCCTCCCTCCATTTTGCCAGGGCAGGCTGCTGAGCGAGAGAGCCTATGGTCGTCCAGCACCGCCCATGGCTGGGGAGGCATGTCTGCCCAATGCTGGGGTTCAGTATTGAGCCCGCCGTTGCTGTACTCTGATGCCACATCTTTCAACTCTTACCTTGTCTCTCAAGTGGCTCAGGACTCAGTAGGGAGGAGAAAGGTAATAATTCCTCAGCCCTCTCAGCCCCACATTAGCATAGGACAGACTGTACCTCCTCATGGAGGCTCCCCTTACCCAATGACACGATGCTGTTATAGTTCTCCAGCATCACCTCCTTGTAGAGGTCCCTCTGTATGGGGACCAGATGACTCCACTCTTCATCTGTGAAAACCACAGCCACGTCTTCGAATGTCACTGATTCCTGAAAATACAATCACATTCTCCTTTACTCTTAACCCTTCTCTTTATTTGGACCAGACCAAAAATGTCAAAGATGACAGCCCTGGAGGATGCATGGTGGGAGGGAAGAAAAACAATGGACTGAGTAGAACTTTAAAGCCCTTGGGAAAAGTGGCCTCATCACCCAGGACATGGAGCTCTTGGTCAGAACCTCACAGCACTACACCTGCAGCTGAGCTTCTGAGTATCAGCCTCTTTCTTCAGACCTCTCAAACCAGCACAAAAAAAGCCGTGTGTGCCTTTCACCTGGCTTCCTCAAATGGCAGCATTTTCCACGTTTGCTTTATCTTTCTGTCTCTCTCTAGATACACATTCTCCTATCTTTTTGCTAAGCCTCTTGACTAACTTGCCGACATCAGATGTCTTTAATCCTAAATATTTTAATGTGTATTCTGTAAAAACAAGGGCGTACTGTTGTTATGATCACAGTATAACTATAAAAAATGGAGAAAATAGGCTGGGCGTGGTGGCTCATGCCTGTAATCCCAGCACTTTGGGAGGCCAAGGCGGGCAGATCATGAGGACAGAAGCATGGTGAAACCCCATCTCTACTAAAAATACAAAAAAATTAGCCAGGCGTGGTGGCGGCGCCTGTAGTCCCAGCTACTCCAGAGGCTGAGGCAGGAGAATCGCTTGAACCCAGGAGGCAGAGCTTGCAGTGAGGTGAGGTCGTGCCACTGCACTCCAGCCTGAGTGACAGAGTGAGACTGTGTCTCAAAAAAATAAAATAAAATAAAAAGGAGAAAATAGGGCCGGGCGCGGTGGCTCACGCCTGTAATCCCAGCACTTTGGGAGGCCGAGACGGGCGGATCACAAGGTCAGGAGATTGAGACCATCCTGGCTAACACGGTGAAACCCCGTCTCTACTAAAGGTACAAAAAAAACTAGCCGGGCGAGGTGGCGGGCGCCTGTAGTCCCAGCTACTCGGGAGGCTGAGGTTGGAGAATGGCGTAAACCCAGGAGGCGGAGCTTGTAGTGAGCCACTGCACCCCAGCCTGGGTGACAGAGCAAAGACTCCGTCTCAAAAAAATAAAAAAAAAAAAAAAAAGGAGAAAATAGCATTGATCTTATCCTATTACCTAATCTACAATCTTACTCAGATTTCACCAATTGTCTTTGTTTTTTACAAATCCTTAGAATAATGGTGTTGATTAGATCATCTGTAGGATCCCCCTCATTTCATTCCAATGCTCTGTGATTCTGTAAGATTGCATCTCTTTACCTCCAGTTCTAAAACCTCAGATGAGTCTCCAGTGCAACGTCGGCAAAAGTTCTAGGCCAGGGTGCCGAATTCAAGACTCTGCCCTTGGGCAGGAATGGAGCAAGCCACATGTCTGTAGCACAGGAGACTCTTCAGGGCTCTCAGCACCTGCAGACAGGGGCTCTACAGTGTGTACCACACATCCCCGCCTAGCCCCACACTCTCTGAACACTGGGGCCTCCTCTCAGTCCACACGTGAATGTACCAAAGGGACAGTCAGGACCAGAACCAGCCCACTATTCCCCAAACCTTCCAGTCAGACCCTACCATTGGCTTCTAGGCACAGTCACTCACAGCGAAGGCTCCAGGAGTTGTAAGTCTGGTGACGAGCTAGTGGGCACATGCTCATGGCAGGAAAAGGTCACTAAAGGACACCTCAAGTGAAATGGGAAAGAAATACTCCCTGTGGAGTCCTTCATCTGCCTGGCTGGGTCTGCTCAAAGAGGCTCCAGGATAAAGAAAAGTGGTTCTATTCTGGAGACGAATGGAGTACTTCGGAAACACAAAAGGCCACCTCACCTGGCATCTGGTGGTCGGAGACACAGCAGCCATTCTTTCCTGTGTGCTCTCCCTGTAGTCAAGGGCAGAGTCCTAATGAAGCAGAAGTGTGGGGTGAGAAAGAAGGTACGAGGAAGACCAGTACCGTCGCATAGTGTTTTGACCCATGAAGCCCATACCAGGGGGATACGTCATTCTCAGTACCTTACAAAAGGGGGTCAGAGTCAAGCAAGGCCAGGCACAACCCCAGACCACCCCAGAATGAGAGCCAACAACCATGGAATTGCGAATTAGACCACAATGTGGTGGTGGTTTTACCATGATGCTAGAGGCAGAGTTCTATTCCTGAGAGTCAAGAACTGTGTAAGATTCACACAGTGCGTATACGTATAAACTCACATTCAGTATTGCCCTGAACAATTACTGGGCAAAAGCCATAAGCAATTTTGTAAATGACTACACGGACAAGACATATCAAAGACAATCCATTCTCTTCAAAGGAAAAAGACCCCACTCGTAGCCCCTGCTAAAGGACCGTCCCTTGGGCAGGTTTTGTACCATGTGACCCTGGGTCTCATTCCCGGAGCCACACTGATTAGGCCACAGGTGGGCGATGCATAGGTGAGTAGTAGACTGAGACGTGGTCTGGCTTGAAAAGGGGTGACATCCTTCCTTGGGAATGTGAACTAAGAAATGTCAGGACAAGTAAGTGACTAGCTGAAAGGATATCATGAGGTCCCGAAGCAGCCACGAGGATCGGGGAACCAAAGTTACCAGCAGCAGAACCCGTGGGCACGTGGGAGGTACAAGGTAGAGAAAAGGTCATAATAGACCACGGGACCAGGGGCAGGCAGGGGGAGCCCAGTGCAGTCCCACCAGCGGTGGAATACCGACGCAGAGACCTAAGAATTCCTGGGGAGGCCCTCACCTCGCCTAGCACCACCCACAGGTCCAATTTCCATGCAAACCAGCCTTATTTATTCATAGATTGCCGTAATACTCTAACCCTCTTGGGCTCTGTGTAAGATCTTATCACTAATTCCCTTTACTGGGATTAGCGAAGTCTCAGGTTTTCGCAATCGAGAGTCTAATTAAAACAACAGACCAGGCACAGTGGCGCACGTCTGTAATCCCAGCACTTTGGGAGGCTGAGGTAAAAGGATCACTTGAGGCCAGGAGTTCTCGAGACCAGCCTGGGCAACATAGCAAGACCCCTGTCTCTACAAAAATAAAAACTATAAAAATAAAACAAGAGCATTAAATCCCACATTTCTGGGATTTATGGTGGCTGGGAGATGGTGTGGTCCTCGTGAGGAGGAGGAAAAGGCGTATTTGTGGTGCACTGACCATTCTCCAACAGTCAAGGGGATATGGTCACTGCTTCTTGTGACTCATTCATCCTTCTATTCAACCAGCATTTATTCAGCACCAACTACTTATACCAAGCACAAAAAAACTGTCAGACGCTGTCTTTGTCCTCCAGAAGCTATAGCTTAGCACAGAGAACAAGTAAATGAAACAATATTTCACTCCAGGATGTGTAAGTGCAGCAAAGCGATATGCACAGCAATCCATGACAGCACCTCAGAGGCTCACCTAGCCCAGCAGGGAGGGGTGGAGGGAGGAGCACTGCAGCTTTCTTGACAGGAGTGGGATCTAAGCTAAGTTTTCATTTGTGGGAGGAGCCAGAACCTTCTAAATCTTGAGAAAAAAACCTCAAGTTTCTCAAAAAGAAGGAGGCAGGTCTTTACATGGAAAGGATTAACAACAAAAATCAGCTTAGAATGGTAGAAGTCTAGGCTGTGAGTCGTGCTGTGGGGAAGATGCAGCTAAAGAGGGAGGCAGAGGCCAGTTTCCTCAAGGAGAGTTTTGCACGGCCCTTTCTCCACAGGCATGGAGGTTACCGAAGGGCTTGGGTGTGGACATGTCATCACATCTGTGCTTTAGAAAAACCACTGTGACTTACAGCAAGGGCCTTGAAACATACTGTTTGACCCAGCAATTATCTCCTAGGAATTTATACTAAGGAAATAAGTAATAATATGTACACAGCTTTTTATGACTCATCATTAACACTAACCCTTACTGACAGCTATGTTCCAGGGCACTTCCTAAGCACTCTATATGTATGATCTCATTTAATCTTTTCAATAAGGCAGCAAAAATTTGAAATGCCTTAAACATCTGGAGACTTGGTTAAGTAATTTCTGGTCCAGTCCATACATAAGTGGAACACTATTAAACATCATCTTGGCCTGGCGCATTGGCTTAATCCCAGCACTTTGGGAGGCTGAGGCAGGTGGATCACGAGGTCAAGAGATGGAGACCCTCCTGGTCAAAATGGTGAAACCCTGTCTCTACTAAAAATACAAAAAAATTAGCTGGGTGTGGTGGCACGTGCCTGTGGTCCCAGTTACTCGGGAGGCCGAGGCGGGAGAATTGGTTGAACCCAGGAGGCGGAGGTTGCAGGGAGCCAAGATCGTGCCACTGCACTGCAGCCTGGCGACAGAGAGAGACTCCATCTCAAACAGACCAAAACAAAAAAACCCCATCATCTTAATAACAACTAGCATTATTGAGCATTTGCTATTTGCCAGGTATTGTGCTAAGTGCTTTTTATAAGGATAATTTAACTCCATCCTCATAAATCAATAAGGAAGACACTATTTTACATATTAGGAAATTAAGGCTTTGTAAGAAGCTGAGGTAGAACTTGGATCCAAGTCAGCCTGGGAGCTTTTAACTTTTATGCTATCATGATTTATTTTCATGAAAAGATAGCCACATCAATTACAGATGAATAGACTAGAACAGAAAATTCCAAAACATATCCAAGCATTAGGGAAGCCTGATGTGCGACTGAGGTGGCATTACAAGTCAGTGGGGAGAAGATCACTAGTGATAAACTGCAAACAACTTCAATGTCCATTAATCAGATAATGGATTTGTGAATATATACACATATATGAATATTATATATTATTAACAGATAAATTGCAAAAAACATAATTACTGGGCAAAAAATAAGTTATAGAATGACTTACTGTATAATATTTACATAAAATTTAAAAACAGGTAGATAATACCTGCAAAAATCTATTAACACATGGGACAATAAGCACCAATGTGTACATATCTGAGAAGACAGGGAAATAAGACTGGGGAGGGATAGCCAGGATACTTCAGCTTTATAATGCTTTGTTTCTTACAAAAAAAAAAAATCAACAGTTGAGAAAAACTCACAGAGAATGACCAGGTGCGGTGGCTCACACCTGTAATCCCAGCACTTTGGAAGGCCGAGGCATGCGGATCACTTGAGGTTAGGAGTTCGAGACCAGTTTGGCCAACATGGTGAAATCCCATCTGTACTAAAAATACAAAAATTAGCCAGGCATGATGGCACATGGCTGTAGTCCCAGCTACCCGGAGGCTGAGGCAGGAAAATCGCTTGAACCTGGAAGGCAGAGGTTGCAGTGAGCTGAGATCATGCCACTGCACTCCAGCCTGGGTGAAAGAGTGAGACTCCATCTCAAAAAACAACAACAACAAAAAAAAACCACTAAGAAATTCAAAAATACTACGTGAAGAATGTACACTCTTAAAATTACATACTTGTACATGCACATTATGTATAGAAAAAGGACGAACACATATTAAAATGTAAATGAAATTTGAGTGGTGAGTTATAAGATATTTTTATTTTCTTACCATTCTTTATACATTTTTTTCAACAAGAGTATGTCCTTATTTTGGTGTACAGAAAAAATAACAGAAAGGAAAGAAGAGTGGTGTGCAGAAAAGTTATAGCGGACCTGAGACTGCTATTCCTAGAAAGTTCTGCTTGCGTGCTGGCCCTTCGCTGGCAGCTGGAAACCTCGATTTTGAGAGGGTTCCCCAGTTCCCTAAGAGATAATGGGGGTCTACTATGCCTAAACTATTCATGCAAACAATGTGGTTTATGGTGAACATCTGCTTTCCTATTGGAGGGTCTGGAATTTTGGTATGTGTTAGACAGACGGTGCCTAGGTGACCAGCTCTCAGTAAAAACGTGGGCTGAGTCTCCAGTGAGCTGCCTTCAGCAGAGATTGTTGCTGCATTTTCGTTGCTGGGGGAAGGAGTGTGCTCCATGTGACACCCTCATGGGAGAAGGAGAATAAAAACAAGCCTGTATGCGGATTCCTCTACCTGGCTTGTCTTTTCCCCTTATGATCTGGCTGCCTGTCCTTGCAGGGTCATCATCACACTCTTAGCCAGAAGTACAACTACGGGTCGAGTCTTGAGTCCTTCTAGTGAATCCCTGAACCTGGGGTGATCCTGGGGACCCCAACACAGGTGGCCACGCCACACTGAGCGGCTGTGGTGTGATGAGATTACAGGAAGGAAAGAATGGAGGTGAGCAGACCACTGAGGAGAGTGTTGTACTTCAACAAGAAAGATGACAAACTGAATGAAAGCTGTGAAAGCAGAAATGGAGGAAACTGCTGTCAAGCTATTAAGAAGAACAGACAGGCAGGGCGCAGTGGCTCACACCGTAATCTCAGCACTTTGGGAGGCCAAGGTGGGTGGACCACGAGGTCAGGAGTTTAAGACCAGCCTGGCCAAGATGGTGAAACCCCGTTTCTACTAAAAATACAAAAATGAGCCAGGCACAGTGGTGGGCACCTATAATCCCAGCTACTTGGGAGGCTGAGGCAAGAGAATCGCTTGAACCTGGGAGGCAAAGGTTGCAATGAGCCAAGATCACGCCACTGCACTCTAGCCTGGGCAACAGAGCAAGACTCCGTCTCAGGGGGGAAAAAAAAGAAGAAGAACAGACAATACACTGGCTGGAAGAAGAGGCTGAAGGTGATGAGGGCAAAAATGATGTCCAGGTTACCATTGCAGCGTGGATAACAATGCTGTTCATGGAGATAAGCAACAGAGAAGGAGGACGGAAAGGAAAACCAATGAGTACAGTTTTGGACATTCGGAATTTGAGCTGACCCCACATCCTTGAATAAGAAAACTCAGATGACTCTGGCTCCCACTGGCCAGATAAGTAATAAAAATCATTAGTGCTAAATAAAATAACTTGAACTTTGAAGGGCTATGAGTTTCATACTCAAAATAGAAAAGTTAATATAAAGTATGCCATAAAAGTTGCAATACAAGGAAGGCAATGTTTAAAACTTTAGTTATATAAAAAGGTACTTTTTCTATTAATTGTATGACTATTCATAAAGTATAGATGTAGCTTTGGGATATATACTTGTATCTATTCACATAAGTATGTAAAAAGAAATTTGGAATAGGAATAAACCAGGTAATCCCAGACACGGAACTACACACCCCAAACAGGGAGGACTAACAGTACTGGGGCTACAGGTAACTATCAGGTAGAAAGAGAAATGGGCTCTACTAACAATGAACCTACCTCTGGTTCCAAAGAGGCATTGTAACTGTGCAGATTTCATCCTTTCTCCCTTAGGAGATGAGTCCTACAGCTAGACTTATGAATCAAAGATACAAATAAGGAACAACTAAGTTTTCAAAAATGTCAAAAGACCAGATCAATAGATATTCACTGGTCTGTCTGGCAGCATTTAACTCTATTCTATAATGGGGCTATCACATTCTTGGATATTTGGGGATTTTCTGTTCTAGTCTATTGGTCTGTTACCTTTGCTATCTTTTCATGAAAATAAATCATTATAGCTTAAGAGTTACAGGTTGCCAGGCAGCTCAGGGTTATTTAATAATGGGTTCACACTGGCCAAGCAAAATTTTAAAGGACTATTACCTTGAGGGTGAATACCAGTTTGCAAAAACTATGTGAAAAACAAGCAAAAACTTTTTGGAAAAACAAGTTTAGCTAAGTATAAGCAAGAAATTTCTGCATAACTTTTGTCTTCTACCACACCAAAGAGTCCCAGGAATGAGTTTCAAGGGAAGCAGGGTTATATGGTAGAAAGCACTACACAGGCACGGAATTATTAACCATGAAGCCTTGGATGAGTTACCTAAGCCAATAGTTGTTTGCTGCCTAACTCACAGAGTAGTTACAAATGGTAAGACCATTAATATAAAGCATTTATCATCCAGTTCATTCAACAAATACAAGTTCTCTTCCTTTCTACTGCTCAGTGCAATCCATCCACTTATTGCACTATTCAACGACTATGTACCAAGTAGCCATTATGTGCTAGGCAGCGAGATGTGTGAGGTCAACAAGACAGAAATGTCTATCTCCAGGACTTTACCTGTGTTCTAACTTTTTTCTTTTTTTTTTGGAGATGGAGTCTTGCTCTGTGGCCCAGGCTGGAGTGCAGTAGCACGATCTCGGCTCACTGCAAGCTCCGCCTCCTGGGTTCATGGCAGTCTCCTGCCTCAGCCTCCGGAGTAGCTGGGACTACAGGCATGCACCACCACGCCCAGCTAATTTTTGTATTTTTATTTTTTTATTTTTTATTTTTTTTTTGAGACGGAGTCTCGCTCTGTCGTCCAGGCTGGAGTGCAGTGGCCGGATCTCAGCTCACTGCAAGCGCCGCCTCCCGGGTTCACGCCATTCTCCTGCCTCAGCCTCCCGAGTAGCTGGGACTACAGGCGCCCGCCACCTCGCTCGGCTAGTTTTTTGTATTTTTTAGTAGAGACGGGGTTTCACCGGGTTAGCCAGGATGGTCTGGATCTCCTGACCTCGTGATTCGCCCGTCTCGGCCTCCCAAAGTGCTGGGATTACAGAATTTTTGTATTTTTAGTAGTGACAGGGTTTCACCATTTTGGCCAGGATGGTTTCAATCTCTTGACCTCATGATCCACCCGCCTCAGCCTCCCAAAGTGCTGGGATTACAGGCGTGAGCTGCTACGCCTGGCCCCTAGTCTTTCCCCCGCCCCCCCAGCATTTTCCACCCCAGTAGTACTTTCTTTCGACATCTTCAAAGACATACAAGCCTCCTCTACCTGAAACTATTTTCACTGAATCCCATGACCTCCTTCTAGCAAAACAGTTCTCATTTAAGCTTTTCTTTCATGATGAAACTTTTTGGAGAGTAATACAAACCTACTGACTCCACACTGTCACCACTTACTCTTCTCCAGTCCCTGTTTTTCAGTTTTGCCCCTCACACACCTGAAAGGGCATGCTTGAAAGCTACCTTTTTTTATTTTGAGGCAGCGTTTCACTCTTGTCACCCAGGCTGAAGTGCAATGGCATGATCTCAGCTCACTGCAACCTCTACCTCTCAGGTTCAAGTGATTCTCCCACCAAAGCCTCCCGAGTAGCTGGGATTACAGGCACCCGCCATCATGCCCAGCTAATTTTTGTATTTTTATAGAGATGGAGTTTCACCATGTTGGCTAGGCTGGTCTTGAACTCCTGACCTCAAGTGATCTGCCCACCTCGGCTTCCCAAAGTGCTGGGATTACAGGCATGAGCCACTGTGCCTGGCCTACCAATGCACTTCTGATCTTATCTCTATTTCTCTGTAGCTTTTCACTGTTCTGACAAGCTTCTGCTTGTTCCAGTGGTTACTGTAACTGCTATGATACTGCACTAGCCTTTCTTCCAACCACTAAAATTGCTGTCTGTGTGTGACTCTTTTTCCCCACTTTTGCCCTGGAAACATGGATGCTGCCCATAGCTCAGTCTTTGTACTTTCTTCATTTTTGCCATCCCTCAGAAAGTCCATCCACACTCAGGGCTCCATTTTCCAACTCTACAGATGTCCATGTCCTGTAACTGTATTGTAATTGTACAACTGTACTGCATTCTTCCAAACTTATCCTGCATTTCCAAATGACTGCAAACCTTGAATTAGGCGTTCCGCCATCACCTCAAAATTATCTTCCTTTAGGCAATTCCCCACATCCACGCCTCTTCCTGGCTTTACATTTGTATCAGATGTTTTATTCTTCTCCCAGGTGTCCCAAACTCAAACTCTTACCTCACTGTCTTTCCTCCCAAATCTAGTCACCAGGCCCTTTTGACTCTTCTTTTGCAATGTCATCCGTATCCTTCCCTTTCACTACCACCACCTGAATTCAGGTCCACAACAGCTTACTTCAAAACTGCCATACGTCCCTAACTGGCTCTCTGCTTCTGGTCCTTTCCCCTCTCTAGTCCTGAATGTGACCTCTAGAACAACTGTCCCCAAATAGTTTGATTCGTGTCAGTCCCTGGATCACACCTATACAAGCCACCTTGCCTACTGGTCTTGTCCTGATTCTCTGAGTCCCGGGCCCTGGCTCCCAGCGTACCTTTTCTTCAACCTTGTCTACCACTGTTGCTAAATTTCTGTAAAAATTCTCTCCAGCTCAAATCTGCCTAACGCTTAGCTGCTGCTTTCCTGGTTTTTTCTTTTTTTTCACGTCAAATCCCACCTCCTCCATGAAGCCCTCCAGCACTCGTGCGGAGGCCCAGAGCAGGGAGCTAAATGAGGCAATCTGAGGCGCTTGCTAGGAAAGAGGGAGCGGGCAGCACCCTAAATTTGGTGTCAATTCCACCCACGTTCATTAAGCACCCATTATGGGAAGAAGAAACGGGAGAGGCGGAGGAAGACTCCAAACCTCCAACCTGAAAGTCCAGGACCGACAGACAATGGGTGCCCAGACCCCACGGGACACACGCACACACGGGGGTGGGTGCACAACTTTCCGTCCGCACCGAGTCGTCGCGACACACGCTCTGCTGGCCTCGCCCTTGTCACCCCGTTTTGCCCCCACAGCACCTCCCCAAAGTTCTCAAGTCCCGTCTCTAAGCTGCTGCGCTCAGTCCGCTCCTCGAAGACACACACCCACAACCCTCACCTCCGGCACAGAGTGCTCGGGACCCGGGAAGACGGCGCCTCTTCAGGTCGGGTAAGCAACGCGCCTGCGCAAAGGGTCCTGGCGCCCGCGCTCCCAATCAATGCGCTGCCTTCGCAAGGACTTCATCTCCCAGAAGTCTGCGCGCCCGGTGCGCCTTAATATGACGTCAGAAAACCTGTGCAAACGCCGGCTTCGCGCGGCTGAACAGGATCCAAAATGGCAGCGCTGTCGCCTTAGCTGAGAGAGCGAGCCGTTGTGGATGTTTGGGAGACTTATGGTCACCCTGAAGTACTGCCTGCGCCTGGTGTCCAGTCCCTCCAGTCATCCGATGGGAGCGCCGTCCACAGGGAATGTGTCTGTCTGATCCTGGTGCCTCTGCCCAGCCGGCAGGGGAAGACCGAGACGAAATCGAGTCATCTAGCGTTGGAAAGGGCTTATTTCCGCTTCCGTTTGTCCACTTGCAGAAATTTGATTCTGGAATTTTGGCCCGAGAGGCAGTTTGGTTGTGAGAACAGGGCTGCGGTTCCAGGCAGGGTCTATGTTCATATTTGCGTTGGAAGGAGAGAAGAGCCTAGGACATATATGTATTAACTGTGCAGCTGGTCCGACTCCCGACTGCTTGAGCTCACACCAGCCGGCCTTGGAGTTGCTGGAAGGGCGCTGGCTGCAAGCTAAGATCACCCGGAGAGCTTTAGACATTGATGCCTGAGGCCCAGCTGTGGAGCGAAAGTTTGCAAAGAGCTGCAGGTGACTCTAACGTGCAGCTAAAGCTAAGAACTATTGAGCTATAGCTCCGGGAAGACTGAAAATTACAAAGAATATGATAAAATCCTACTTCAGGAACAAAACTACATTTTTCCAGGTTAATACTTCGTTAGTTTTTTTTTTTTAAGCTTTTTTGGGGTACACAGTAGTTGTAAACATTTATGGGCCACCTGAGATATTTTGACACAGGCATGCAATACGTAATAACCTCATCAGGATAAATGGGATGTCCATTACCTCAAGCATTTATCCTTTGTATTACAAACAATTCAGTTATATTCCTTTAATTACTTTAAAATGTTCAATATTATTGGCTGTAGTTACTCCGATGTGCTATCAAATACTAGTTATACTATTTCTTATTCTATTTTTGTACCTATTAACTAGCCCCACTTCCCCACCCCACCAACCCTTCCCAGTCTCTGTTAATCATCCTTCTACTCTGCATCTCCATAAGACTACACTTTCATTCAAAAAAATCCTAATTGCTCACCATAGGCAAGGCACGGTTGAGTAAGTTACTGACCCAAATGAACTCTTGGTCCAATGGAAAAAATCACAATAGAGGCAGTATGTTCTACAATTATGTCACCCCTCGGCATACTATGAGAGTACAATGGAGGAAGGAAGCTATTAACTATGGTTGGGAAAGGTGGGAAAGGATTCCTATAATTGGTGTACTTAAAGTAATTAAGAAAAAGAAGTGTGATCTAAACAGAATAGCACCTGCAAAGGCACAGTCTAGAGGATAAAAGTGAAAAGAATTTGTAGCAAAGTGAATGGCTTGTGGATGAGGTTTAGGGGCCAATAACTATCTTGAGGTAAGGCCAGGTTGTGGCTGACTTTGTGTTGTACTAACGAGTTTGGACCTTCCTAGAAGATTAGAGCTTGATTAAAGTCACAACATCCACAAGAGAAATATTTTCTTTTTGTTCCATTCTGTGTGGTGGTTTTTATTATTTATTTAGCTTTTTTTTTTTGAGACAGAATCTCCCTCTGTCGCCCAGGCTGAAGTGCAGTGGCCGGATCTCAGCTCACTGCAAGCTCCGCCTTCCGGGTTTACGCCATTCTCCTGCCTCAGCCTCCCGAGTAGCTGGGACTACAGGCGCCCGCCACCTCGCCCGGCTAGTTTTTTGTATTTTTTTTTAGTAGAGACGGGGTTTCACCGTGTTAGCCAGGATGGTCTTGATCTCCTGACCTCGTGATCCGCCCGTCTTGGCCTCCCAAAGTGCTGGGATTACAGGCTTGAGCCACCATGCCCGGCCTTATTATTTATTTAGCTTTATACTGAGGGTGGAAACTGGGGTCCTGAAAGTGTTTCTTTCTAGAATATTCTGCACCCACTGGCAGGCCTTAGGCTTTGTCTTTACTGCTTCCATGTAGCTGCCAAAGTGGAAGTTTATATTCTCTAGGATTTAGCGGCCTGAAAGTCAGGTTTGTTGCTCGATTCTCAGAATTCTAGCTCTCATTTTATTTTTTGAGACATGCTCTGGCTCTGTCATCCAGGCCGGAATGCAGTGGCATGCTCTCAGCTCACTGCAACCTCCACCTCCTGGGCTCATGTAGTCCTCCCATCTCAGCCTCAAGAGTAGCTGGGACTACAGCTGTGCACCACCAGGCCGGGCTAATTTTTGTATATTTTTTTTTTTTAGAGACAGAGTTTTACCATGTTGCCCAGGCTGGTTTCAAACTCGGGCTCAAGCAATCCACCCTCTTCGGCCTCCCAGAGTGCTAGGATTACAGGCATGAGCCACTGCGTCTGGCCCATTTCACTTTATTTTTTTGAATGTTTACACATTCCTCACTTTCATGCCTGCTTATCAGTGTGTTTATAAAGATGTTTGTAATTTTTCAGCATTTTTAGTTTTTTTGATTAAGAGGGCTGTTTAGGCCATCTAATCTGCCATGTTACTGGGAAGATTAAGAGAATTTTAACTGATTTTCTCAAAAGAGTTAGGAGCATATCGAAGCTAAGCAGCCAAGAAGTGACATACATTAATTTTTTTAGAGTAAAACAGATATCTCTTGGGCCCACAAGCTTGTAGGTTCTGCCAAATTGCAGGATGTTATGACCATCTGATGCTGTTTAACAAACCAGTCCAAACTTAGTGACTTAAAACAACAATTTTATTAGGCCAACACATTCTGTGGGTCGGGAACTTGGATGGGCACAACAGGGATGGGCACACAAGGATATCATTTGGATATCCCCTCCAAATCTCATGTTGAGATGTAATCCCCAGTGTTGGAGATGGGGCCTGGTGGGACGTATTTGGGTGATGGGGGCAGATCCCTCATGGCTTGGTGCTGTCCTTGTAATAGTGAGTACTCCTGAGATCTGGTTTTTTACGTGTGTGGCACCTTCCTGCCCTCCCCAACTCTGTTTTGTTCCTGCTTTCACCATGCAAAGTGCAAGCTCCCACTTCACCTTCCACAGTGAGTGAAAGCTCCCTGAAGCCTCCCCAGGAGCCAAACATGCCAGTGCCATGCTTCCTGCACAGCCAGAAGAACCAAGAACCAATGAAACCTCTTTTCTTTATAAATTGCCCAGTTTCGGGTATTTATAGCAGTGCAGAATGGCCTAACACAGCTCGTTTCTGCTTCCCAATTTCTGGATCCTCAATTGGGAGGACTGTATCTGGCACCCAGATTGGCACGTGTGGCTAGGCTCAGCTGGGACTGTTAGTCCCCGCACGTAACCTCTCTTTGTGCTTGGACTTCCTCACAGCATGGTGACCTTGGGGCAGTCAGGCTTCTTGCACCTCATTTCAGGGCTCTAAGAGGGTCCCAGGGAACGAGACAGAGGCTTCATGGCTTTTTTTTTTTTGAGACAGAGTGTCGCTCTTGTTGCTCAGGCTGGAGTGCAATGGCACGATCTCAGCTCACCACAATCTCTGCCTCCCGGGTTCAAGCGATTCTTCTGCCTCAGCCTCCCGAGTACCTGGGATTACAGGCATGTGCCATCACGTCCGGCTAATTTTGTATTTTTTGTAGAGATGGGTTTTCTCCATGTTGGTCAGGCTGGTCTCCAACTCCCGACCTCAGGTGATATGCCCACCTCTGCCTCCCAAAGTGCTGGGATTACAGGCGTGAGCCACTGCGGCCAAGAAGCCTTTTTTTTATTTTTTATTTTTGAGACGGAGTTTTGCTCTGTCACCCAAGCTGGAGTGCAGTGGGCAACCTCGGCCCCCCAGGTTCCAGTGATTCTCCTGCCTCAGCCTCCTAGGTATCTGGGATTACAGGTGCACACTACCATGCCCAGCTAATTTTTGTATTTTTTAGTAGAGACGGGGTTTTGCAGAGACAGGTGTGAGCCACTGCACCCAGCTACCAGTCTTAAAAGTTTACAAACTGCAGTCTGGGCGCGGTGGCTCATGCCTGTAATCCCAGCACTTTGGGAGGCTGAGGCGGGCGGATCACGAGGTCAGGAGATTGAGACCATCCTGGCTAACACGGTGAAACCCCGTCTCTACTAAAAATACAAAAAATTAGCCAGGCGTGGTGACGGGTACCTGTAGTCCCAGCTACTCGGGAGGCTGAGGCAAGAGAATGGCATGAACCTGGGAGGCAGAGGTTGTGATGAGCCAAGATCGTGCCACTGCCGTCCAGCCCGGGAGACAGCGAGACTCTGTCTCAAAAAAAAAAAAAAAAGTTTACAAACTGTATGATTCCATTTATGTGACATTCAGGAAAAGGCAAAACTATAGGGACAGGTAACAGCAGTGGTCACGGGTTGGGTGGAAGAGGTGTTTGCAGAGCAACAGTAAAAGGAATGTTGAAGGTGGTGGAGAGTGTATAGGCTGGTGAGGACTGGAGCTCCACCAACAGTGCTTTGAGATGAAATGGTGCACTAGAGCACTGAGCAGGAGAGAGAATATGCCTGGGATAATTAACGTGCATTGTAACAAACAAGGGTCTCTGGATCAAGATCTGTCCCAAAGGACACAATGTAAGATTGGGGAATTTTAGACACTGTAGCAGGCCCAGAGGATGGGCATCAGGAAAAGGCAGTGGCCCTCAAGTTCATCTGAAGTAGTTCCATCTCTAGTTTTGTTGACCCATCAATGAGATGAAAATCTTTTCTCACTTGTCCATCCCCTCACCTTTTTGGTTCAGAGCACCGAAGATGGAAAAGCTCCTATACCAGCCATGGTTCCCAGACAATGTCCCCCTGCGTGGATGAGGGTTTGCTTGCTGCGCCATCCTGGCCATCTGTGCCACTGGAAGTGCTGGCAGAGAAGTGAAACAGACTGCAAAAGCAGGAAAGGAGAATGGGCTCTTTGCCTTGATTTTGTAAGTTATTTTGCCCTGAACTCCTAAATAGAGTTGATAAACCAATCTCTCTATCCTCATGAGTGGCCCTTCTCTGGCTGAGGGCTGCCTCCAGAAAACCACTGTTTTAATACTCAGACTGTGCCTTAGGCATCAGCGCTGCTCTAACAGAGTATCTTAAAGGGGGTAATTTGTAAATAATACAGATTTGTTGTTCACAGTTCTGGAGGCTGGGAAATCCAGTATCAACATGCCAGCTGATTCAGGGGCTGGTGAGGGTGCGTTTCTCATAGATGGCACCTTCTGTGTCCTCACATGGCAGAAGGAGCAAAGGGGGCTAAGGCCCGTTTTTATTTTTATTTTATTTATTTATTTTTTGAGATGGAGTCTCGCTCTGTTGCCCAGGCTGGAGTGCAGTGGCATGATCTTGGCTCACTACAACCTCCGCCTCCCAGGTTCAAGCAATTCTCCTGTCTCAGCCTTCTGAGTAGCTGGGATTACAGGTGTGCACCACCACGCCCAGCTAATTTTTCAAAATATATTTTTGGTAGAGACAGGGTTTCACCATGTTGGCCAGGCTGGTCTCAAACTCCTGACCTCGTGTGATCTGCCCATCTTGGCCTCCCAAAGTGCTGGGAATACAGATGTGAGCCACCACGCCCGGTCTAAGGCCTGTTTTTAAAGGGCACTAATCTCATTCATGAGGGCAGAGTCTTCCAAAGGCTCCATCTCTTAATACTGTCACCTTGGGAGTTAGGTTTCAACATATGAATTTGAGGGGGACACATACATTTAGACCATAGCAAGCCGTTTTTCCATTTCTTTTGGGTCCTAAATGATATTTGTTTCTGGAGTAGGAGGGCATCCAAAGTCCTCTTTTGTTCTCCATCACCCTTTGCTGAATTCAGGGGCAGATGGAGAAAGGCAAGAGGCACGGGGCAGCCTGTAGAAGCAGTATCTAGCACTGAGCCCCCAGTATCTCCTAGGCAGCCAGGAGAACCTCCTGGAAATCCTCACTCAGCAGATCCAGGGTAGGACTGCGGCTTCTGTTGAACAGCCTTACATCGAGATATGCGGCTTGGGCGCCGTGGCTCACACCTGTAATTGCAGCACTTTGGGAAGCTGCGGTGGGAGGATCATCTGAGGTCAGGAGTTCGAGACCAGCCTGGCTAACATAGTGAAACCCCCGTCTCCACTAAAAATACAACAAATTAGCTGGGCGTGGTGGCGGGCACCTGTAATCCCAGATACTACGGAGGCTGAGACAGGAAAATTGCTTGTATCCAGAAGGCAGAGGTTGCGGTGAGCCGAGAGCGCGCCACTGCACTCCAACCTGGGCGACAGAGTGAGCCTGTCTCCAAAAAAAGAGAGGGAGATGAGGCTCGGCTACCAAAGGCACGCGCGAGAGCGGAAACGCTTGTAGGTCCGGCCCTCCGGGGAGAGCGGGGTGAAAGCCGGCGCGCACGACCCTTCCAAGCTGAGGTCCTCTCGGGCCTCCCCGCGCCCCCCACCCCGCCCCCAACCCCCGGCGCTCGCTCCGAAGGGCCTCGGCGGCGGCCGCGTCTGCGCGAGCTGGGGACGGCCTCGGGAGGCGGGGCTGGGCCTATCCCTGTGCGCGTTCGGAGACTGCGGGCGCGCAGACCTGTCCTGGGCCCGCTCCCCGGCGTCTTACAGAGCGGGGCGTGTCCCTCCGAGTGTCCCCCGCTAGGGACTGTGCAGGCCGGAGCTAGGCAGGGGCAGCGGGGAAGCCGGGCTGATGGGGCCTGTGCCTGCCCCGTGAGGCTCTTACCGAATCCCTGCTGTCTCCGGGCAGCTGAAGGGCGCCGGGCCCCCGCGTCGCGGGCGTGGCTGTGGCCGTGTCTCCTGGTGGTCTGAGCCCAGTGCGCGTGTGGATCCACGTGGGAGCTGGGTTCCAGAGCCTCGTCCTGAGGCGGAGCCGAGCGCGGGGAGGAGGCTGGACTTGGCGGGGGAAGAGCACGGCGCCGGGCGCACCCGTGTTTGCCGGCCCTGCCCTGGGCCTTGCAGGTCCGCTGGCCCCGCCGCGCCTACTGGGGATGTCCCGTGTGCCCCAGGCAGCCTCAGCCTGCGTCCCGCTCCCTGAACCCTCGGGAGGACCACAGGGCTGTGGCCGAAAGACAGAGATTTGGACCTAGTGAAAGGACGTCGCTCCTTAGCCCCAGCTATGGACTCCACAGCATCAGGTTTGGCTCTGGAGCGTGCAGAGGGCCAGGAGCCCTCTTGGGGAGCTAGTACCGGGCCCGATATGAGGAGGACCCCAGGAAGAGGCCGGGGAATCGCACTGAAGGGGAAGGGGAAGGCTGTACTGCGTCTGCCTTCCCGGTGGCGACATCTAACCTTCCAGACCCAGGAGGCTGAAGCCGCGGTCTGCTGGGTCTGGCAGGGGTCTCTAGATGACCGTGGCAGAGGTGGAGGAGATGGCCACGGAAAATTGTCCCAATGGCCAGAGGAGAGAGAGGAGAGCGAGGAGAGCAGAAGAGGATCTGATCTCGTCCTGCTGCTGCAGGGAGAGGACAAGCAAACCCAAGAGGGAGTGGCCCTTGGCCAGGGATCAGAGAACAATAGAGCCATTTGGAGCCTTGTCATCCACCTGCTTAATCACCTCACTAATAAGGTTCTTCCAGCCCTTCTAGCTCAGCAGTGTATAAGGTCAGCAGTGTACACGGTTGGCATCTCCTGTGAGCTCTTCCCCCAGTAGCACTGGGGCAGGGCAATCCAGGGGACCCAGGAGATTTTAAGCCAGTCCTAGGTTTAGAACGTCCTGTCTTTCACCAGGTGGCCGTTTTAATGCGACTGTTCATCCTTCAGTGCACATGCTCAAGGACCCAAAACTGGCCAGTGGAAGAACTGGGCCCAGTCCCTGGGCCTCCCAACCCTTTTTTCCTTTATACCCTTGCTAATCAGTGTGGCTCTGGCACCAGCAGAGGCACTGCCCAGAAGCTCTCTAGAATTGCAGACTCTGGGGCCCCACACATCCTCAAACAGGGTCCTAGCAAGTCTTGAACTGGAGTTTCACAAGATCCTCAGGGATCCACACACACATGAAGCTTGAGGAGTGCCGACCTGTGCTATGCTGCCTGCTTACATCCATATTGTTAGCCTTAACTACTCTGGCATGATTTGGGCTAGTTTTTTTGTTTGTTTTAAGGCTCTGCAAACAGTATGATACAAAGCTTTTTAACGAAGGAGCTCTCAAGTGTGCTGCAGAGACCTAACAGAGCTTGGGAACACCAGGGGCAGTTTCTCAGGAAGAGGCAGCCTCTGAGCTGGGTTCCCAAGGATGAGGGGAGAGGTGTAACTTCCTCCCCTTAAAGCCTCATCATCCCGCATGGCCTCGCCTTGGGTCTTGTGTAGTTGTTAACCTGTAGGCTAGATTGAAAGTTCCTTGAAGGTCTTTTCCATGTTTATATTTCCAAAAGTCCTAGGAGATGACCTGCATACCGTATGCCCAGCAAATAACTTCAGTGGTGTGGCCAGACTGGTCACACTTCACTCACCTGTAGACTGATGTGGGCCTGTGGACAGATGGGAGCCTCATGCAGCTGTGTACAGGGGCACTTCTCTCAATGTTTGAAGGCTAGAAGCTGCCCCTCAGATCCCTTTGACCCACTGGTGTCCTCAGGACCACGGAGGTGACATTCAGAGCTGTTCTGGGTCTCAGGCTTGGGAAGTCTGAGAACTGTGTGTGCCAGCAGGGTCAGCTTCCCTCACATCTCCTTCTACCTTCCCAGCTTCCCCTTCTCAGAATCCTGCTCTTCCTCCAGAGAGATTCCCAGGAGCAAAGGGAACAACCACTTCATTCCTGAAAGCGAGGCCTCAGGTGAGCTGTGTTCTCCATTTTTCCTCAAATGCCTGAACCATGGTTAGCTTTGCCTACTTTTCACCAAACAGTAGCCTCTTTGTTCACTGAGGGAACTGACCCGATGCTGTCTCTGCGGGAGGCTGAGCCCGTCCAAGTGAATGATGGCTCCCTGCCCTGCCCAGGGTGTTCTCTTCTTGCTATGCACCTTCTCAGATCATATTTCTGGAAAGGGCACTGTGGTGACCACCAGGTAATATGACAGCCCTGGCCTTGAAAGAATGTCACAGCCACAGTGGGAGAGGACCCTGACACCCTGAACGCAGCCACCAGTAACATGATGTGAATGGTTTGATGCCAAATGGAGTGGCGCACACAGGCCTTTCCATCGAGGTTCACGAAAAGGGGAATTGGCCTGTTCGGAGAGGTTGAGAAAGCTTGTGGAGAATTGGGGACAAGTGGGTTCTGAGGGTATAGACAGGTGGGCAGGCCATTTGAGGCTGGGTCCCTGTTCAGATGTTATCTCCCTGGATTAGGGAGGAGACACACTTAACTTTACTGTTGACAGGCTGTGTGGCCTTGGATGAGTCACCTAACCTCTCTGTGCATTGGTTTGCCTCCTGTAACATGAAGACTATAATAATGTTAACGATAATGAAAATAATTATTATTTATGGAGAACAAAACCTGTATCAGGAACTATTCTCTACAATTTACACATACTAATTCATTTTGTCTCTAAAACGTTCCCATAAATGGTTACCATTTTGAAGAATGGTAACCAAAGTGTGGAGAGGTTAACTGAAGAAATCAAGGCACAGAGAGAGAAAGTAACCTGTTTGTGGTTATCCAGTTAGTGAGGAAGGGACCCCAATTTTACATCCAGGCTGTCTAGCTCTGAGATCTTAACCACTCAATCATAGAACCGCCTCATGTGGTTGTTAGAGTCCGCTGGTAGTTCCACTGGCAGATGGTAACTGCCTAATCCTTGTTGGCATCAGGATTCATGGTGACTGGCCCTCAAGGGGGATTCAGGTTTGGCTCTCGTGAGCTGGATGTGGAGGGGTACAAATGCCAGCCTCCGGGGTTTCCCAGCATCCAGGATAGGCATGGGATTCAGGCTTGATGATAGACACTGACATTTAACTTTTAAGCCAAAACGGGAACCCCCCCAGTAAGGCATTTAATCAGTAAAGTCATAAATAGCGTTCAGATCTTTTTGGCCCTGACATACATCATTCAGAGATTTATCGAGTGCTTAGGTGGGTTCAGTGTGGTAATCATGGCCCCGCATCTCAGTGGCTCGCAGTCAGAAAGAGTGTCTTCTTTCTGCTGTCTTTATCGGTCGTGGGCTAACTGTGACTCTGCTCCACACCCTCTTCTCTCTGAGTTTCAGGCTGACGGGTCAGCCCCCTCTGGGATATGCTGTTCTGCTTTTGTTTTTGTTTTTGTTTAGCATTATTATTATTATTTTTTATTATACTTTAAGTTCTAGGGTACATGTGCACAAAGTGCAGGTTTGT